TGACCGTGAACTAGCTAATACGAATACGTCATCGGTACACATTTACGTTCACGTGTTAAGAGCATCATGAAGCCCCATAACATTCTTTGCCACGGCCCACCGGTACGGCTTTCCTCAATACACAATTATATATTAAATAGCTTATACTAATAATAAAAATATCAATGTGAAACCACTTGAGCGAGCCTTGCATTTAAAGAATAAAACATGTTTAATATGATGAGGTGCTTAATTCAATTATCAAAGTTATGATAGCAAAACAGTGAGCAAGTATGATGGTAAATTCATTTAAGTTATCAGTTAGACATCAAGATTAATACAATTATTGTTTAACAGATAAGAAAGAACATATTTGCATCTCCAATCAAATATTTACGTAATACGTCAGTACAGTACTCGTAATTATCGTAAAATGCGAATAGTTTGATATCGTTATATGAATAAGAATAAAATTAACGGAACCTTAATTTGAATTAGCTTTTGCATAAAATGAAATTTGGAAATTTGTTAGTCAGGTCAGATTTGCTTTCATGTCTCGAAACCTAGAGAGGGAGCTTCAGGAGCAAAAATAAAACATGCACGTGATCAGTCTTGTAAAACAACCATAATACCACGGTACAATTATAATACAGTACTCCAACTTCATACAAACGGACGAAACGCGAGCTATACCTACGCGCCTCGATCTCGGGGTGCGCTCGGGGCGCAGACAATCACGGCTGTACCGCAGTGTCGAACGGACGGTGTGTTGTTTTTTTTTAACAATAACCGCGCGATTTTTTCTCTAAAAATCAGTTAATATGACGAGTAGGAAATATTGTGCTGTTTTTGGTTGTATGAATTCGTCAATAACGCATCCAGACATAAGTTTTTTTAAATTACCTGGAAACTCTGAAAGGTAAGACTATAAAATAATTTTACTTACTAGTAGGTAGGTACATAATGTGTGTCTTTTTAATGAATAAGTATTTCCTTTTATCTTACGAAAAAAAAGGTGTTTGGATTAATAAAGCGAATAGAGTAAAGGAAAGTTATTGAGACGAGTGAAATAGGTAGTGAATGCGGTTCTGAATGAATCATGATACGGTAGGTACCTACCTACTTACGCTTGTGTTAAAACTTCGGTGCATGTGTGTTTTGTTACTTTGCATAATTCAAAGTAAAGACGTGGTATTTTATTTTTAATAATATTTGTTTATTATCTGTGTGTATGAATAATACTAGAAACAATTTTTTACCGTCTGTGTGTCATTAGATAGTTTTCGAAATTTTCACAAAGTGTTTCTGCTGCTACTATAACAACCACGTAAGTGTTTCTGCTGCTACTATACCACTAAAAACTGGTTTCATTTTCTCGGTATTAACAACAACAGCTAGACTCATATATAATACTAGCTGACCCGCGCAACTTCCTCTGCGTCTCTCAATTGTAATAAATTATCTCCGTTTTTGAAACATTCTTCATTACTGCTCCGCTCCTATTGGTCTTAGCGTGATGATATATAGCCTTCCTCGATAAATGGGCTATCTAACACTGAAAGAATTTTTCAAATCGGACCAGTAGTTCCTGAGATTAGCGCGTTCAAACAAACAAACTCTTCAGCTTTAAAATATTCGTATAGATTTAAATGTTTGAGGGTTGTGATTTTAAAACATTCGTAGTCAGCTGTTCAGCTTTTTAATAATTAATTAATTGGTGACCAAAGAATTTTTGTTTTGAGTTGTTGCGAGTTGTAGGTAGGTACCTAATTTATGGAGACGTTAATAAGCTGAGATAAAAAGTTACTTACTCGTCAGCTGTTTCTTGCATTCTAGTTGAGTAGGTAGGTGTTGGAGTTTCTAAGGATTGGAGTTTTGTAACGCGTAAGGAGAAAGCACATTTTTTTTATTCTATAGAAGGATTTTTTAAGCTATTGCAGCTTTTATCGCGGGCTCACTTCCTATTCAATATACAAAGTATTTCATTTATTTATATAAAAAGGATATTTACAATCACAAATCTAAATAGAAACAGAAAGTAGGCAAATATAATTAAAATGCTGGAGACGGGCAGCCCTAACGCATGTTTACGTACCGCGCGGCTGTAGGCATTTATTTCTATCATGCGGCCAAGTTACACTACTGTATTATAATAGTACCGTGATAATACACTATGAAACTAAACACAAATACTCTTCACGTGACTTTACGCATCGTAATAAAGCTTGTTTTTATTAGGATTTTACGGGATATCTAAATAGCTTTTTATTCCATTTGCCAAATCTAACTTCAATTCGTGTCTGGTGACAAGGTTATAATTTTGTCGAAAAAGAATATTGTATTTGCAATATACATTTGTAATCTCGTGTAAATTACGAAGTAGAATCAACAAGAAAATGAAATAGTTCATCATACATTATAATTTTACATAAAATTTAAAAATATATGTTTAAATATGGTATAACGATACGAGTCTACATGCTTCCAAAGATATCAGTTTAATGATAGCAGCTTAAAGTAATTAAGTAAATAAACTAAGATTAGAATTAGTTTGCTCTAGATTTCATTTAATAGCTCGTGACGTGATAAAACGGCTTAAAAATATGTTATGAGATGAAAGAATATACTTTTAAAAAGAGTGGTTTTATAAAAAGAAATCAATATATATTTTATAATATTAAAAGAAGAAACTTTCGAATTGTAATGAATGTGTCTGTGTTGTACATAAAAACTTCAGTATATTTACAGTAGCATCTAATAAAATTTCAAACTGGCTTACGCTAGTTTTAGCTGAAGACAATTACTGTCATTAGATGTGGTAATTCCATTAGCAAGTTGGCAAAGAACTTATTGTAGACCTGCCTCACGTGCTCTTTACGTCAATAGCGGTCACGCCTTCTAAAATTTAGATCAATAACTATGTAGGTAGGTTGATGAAAATTAAACTATATCACAAGTGAATATTATCTGACATTCAAACCTGGTTGATGTTATTCGGGAATAACATTGTCAGTACTTGTAATAAAAGCGTTTAGATACTAAAGATTGTAAGCAAGTCATTTCAACTTCACGGAAAATAAACAAAGCAAACCGACCACTTTAGGTTTCCACAGCTAAATAAATATTCTGCCATCCCAATAATATTACATCCGTACGAGTCGTTTTGTGAGAGTCACCTTTCTTGAAGTCGGTTAAAAATAACCAAGTATGTTTTACTGACGTACCTTTTGTACTAAAATATTTGGAGCTAGAACTAACTAATGCAAAGTCGTTGACCGAAATTGATAAACATTATAAGTACTTTGTTATGTAACCGGACAAAGAAGGTCTTATCGAATATCGTACAACATTAATTTAAAATCGACCTCATCTTAAATCAAAAACGTTTTATGGTGTTGAAAAAAAATATGGAAATAACTAAGACGTACGTTTGAGAAATATCGCAGTTAATAATAATTATTTTATGCAATTTCCTGATTTTATATGCTTATTTGTTCTGTTTTAATTCGAAGACAATGGGCTAAGATTACCAAACGACAATGCGACATGTCTGCAATCAAAACGATTGTTTACTTCTATTGTTACTTTGATTCGGTAAAGTTGCAGATGGACGCAACAAACCATGAGTTCGCGGAGAATTTCTGTTTACTAATTCTGAAGAACAAATTGTTTACGTAGACGCTTGTCATCTTCGTATTAATAAAAAACTTTAAGTCCTTACCTTTTTATTAGTTGCGTAGGAACACATAAGATAGCCTTTAAGATTTTCCCTAACCAGAATAAATCTACACTATGTGTCTTTTGGCCATTTCTCAAATTATTCTTTTAATTGTCTCTACAAAATAATATTTTCAGCTGTCGTACACACAGCGACACAAAAAAAAAACACATTTCTGCAGAAGCAACATGAATGTTTTTGGCTCAGCATACTTTCTTAGCTGACTTTTAGCAGTACGTTTTACCAAATACCAGTTTTAGATCTTAAAAATACTAAAAGAACACCCAAATGAAACAACTTCATGGACGACTTTTAACAGTAAAGAAAATTTTACGAGCCTATTTATTAAATTTAAATTGTAAATCAGAACAAGTTAACGACTCTAGTAACATAAACAAGATACTTCTATAAAGTTACGAAAGCCTTTAGTATTCCTTCATCTGGACCTGTCGCAAAATCTATTCCAAGCTGACGTGTTCTATCAAAGAGAGCTCTTAAACCTCTCTATGCCGGTCCTATCGCCAAATCCGTTCTTCAATAATGTAAGGTAACTTAATGCCAAATTTCAGATCACTAGTACAAAAAACAAAAAGCTACTTTCAACGCGAACAGCAGTTGCTTTTATTATCCTTGATTCGATTTTGTGGATGGTAACGGATCGTAACTTTAATGACCCATTTCATCCAGTTAATAATGGCTCTGAGACCTATTATATCAAAATGAGATTAGTATTTCTGGTGGTGTACATACAGTTGATAATCAAACCAATTGGGTATGCAACTTTCATATGCCATTATTCTTGTTGATGTCTTGTAGGGGCAACTAAGTTTTCCTTTAGCAATATGTCAATTAAGTTTCAGAGCAAATAATAATCACCTGTAATACCATTTGACATTACATTGTTTGCAAACCACGATATTTATTAATTGAATACCGCCATCTGCCTTTTAGATTGCAGGTATTCAGTTTGATTTCAAGAACTTTTAACTTACTTAACCCTGCCCTCGCTCAAAATCCGTTCTTAAACTCACAGTGCTGAACAACTTACATGTAAATTAAGCTTTCTAATATAACTGTTGCTAAATCTGTTCTCAGACATGATAAACTGCTTTCCTACCTAATTTAATCTGCATATATTAATTAGTTTCCAGATTTCGTGATAACTCAGTAGAAGCAAGTTATTGAAAATATTATAAAATATTATTGCTTCTTGTTGACATTTAATGATAAAGAAAAATAGAGGATTCATAGTTTCTTATATAATTTATACAAAAAAGGTGTGATAAAAAATAAGTTTACATACCTTCTTCTGGAGTGAGATCTGCAAATTTGATTCCACCACTGTAAAAGAAGAATTTATATTGGAATAAACTGCATGTACAAGACAAATTAATTGTATATAATTCAAATGACTCATGTTTCAATCATGTTTTAGTTGTTGACCCCATAAAAAATATAAAATCAACAACTACTGTAGTAGAACAAGCTTTTAAATTTCTAAAACTAAGGCTTTGTCACAGTGCATGATGATAAAAACAATTTTTAAATTTACATAGTACTGTTTATTAGACGAAGAATAAAAGTAATTATATAAATGTTTAAAAATTTATTCTAAGTAGCTGTTGCTACAATGCCACCATTTCAGCAAATTTTCATTTGTTGCTGACACTGAGAAACCTTTTTGTGTTCATAGTTGCAAACGAAAATTTTTTTAAACAATACTTTTAATAAAATGTAAATTTAAAAGCTTGAATTTATGTCAAGAGATGCACTGTGTAGTTTTTGTAGGTGTCACAATTACCTGAGGAGCACGGTAGCCGTTTCCGGCACCCGGAACACCTGGAAATAAACACAATGTGGAACCATATCTTAATGGGTCTCCAATTGGAGAAACCACAACTCAATGGGAATTTTATTTTAACTTGAAATCAAACACAAATTAAAGAACAAGAATTTTGATTAATCATAAATTTAAATGGCTTTTATATTCCAGAATACATTTAAAAATTAAAGCTTGGTGAGATAATATTTCAAAATTGTTTTAGGTAACAGAGATAACAAGTATTTATGTCATTGTGGCCATTTTTTCAGTTAGTAAAAATACAATTTAATAATTGAAACATATAGTATGAACTTACTGATCCAAGTTTTCTAAAAAAGTAAAGAATAAGTCTCACCTTCCATCCTAGATTTTCGAAAAAAGTGCTGAGGCGTGACTGTCCAGTGGTTTTGCCGCCACACGGTCCTGGTAAAAGTACAATGTGGTTTCAAAAATACATAAATCGCTAAAATCCACGTGTTGACTTTTACAATATAATAAAAACTTATTTAGATATCCAGAAAGTAAACAAAACGAGATAACAGTAATCGAAAATAAAGCAAAATTCGTGAAATTCAGATAAAAGCGGCATTATATTAATACTTAAATTAAATACTACGTGCAAAAATATGAAAAATCTTACCTCCAGTAAGGACCAGTTTGTAAACGATTTTCTGGGGTGGATTAGCCATTTTATTTAAATAGAAATATATAAATTAGAATTAAATTACACTACGAAGGATACTAAGTACACAAATATCATAAAAATGTTAAATTTACAAAAGCATTATAAAGAGCCATCACAGTTCAATATATGCATCGCCTGTCAGGCGTGCGCTCAGATGAAAGAGTGAATGAAAGGAGAACGAGTCAACGAGTGGCTCTATGTACGAGAGCTCATTGCATGAGTCACGTCACTGTTTTATTTTACCGCGTAATATCGCGTATTGAATAGTATGATTCATAGACAAGAGAGCGGAGACTACTATATTTATTATTATATATACCTAATATATAGAAGTTCACATAGTACATGTATCATTATTGTTCATGGCAATGACCATGGAGATATAAGCATAGGGAGAACACGGGGTATAGCCGCCTGTAAGTGGAAGCGAAACAGGCAACGAGAGAGATGGATGCCCGATAGTTCCCTCTGTCTAGCTAAGCTGCGATTGGCTATAGTAAAGTGAGCATGGTTTTGATCGTAGAACACATTGATATAATACTTACATAGATGAGTAATTACCGCCTAAAATCGTTGCTACTGCACATCTGTCCACAACCATATGCGTAGCAAACGTCAATTCAGTGTTCAATGTGGCGTCAACCGAATTGAACATAGCGACACATGACAGTAACAATCGATAAAATGGGTAAATGCGTAGTGAAAGAATGCGATTCAAGGTCACAAAACCATAATAAATCATGCGGAATTACTTATCACGTGTAAGTTTATGGTTTTTGTATTGAAAATATCGTAAATAAGGCTATAATTGAAATAAAACATTGATAATTGTAATTTAGAATCAGTGTTACCATTAAAAAATCATTTTGGTTTTCCCACATTAGTGGGAGAATTTATAATTTATGAAATAATATGCTTTATACTGTTTTTAAACATTTTGCCAATAATGATAAAATATAGGAAGGACGGTAGTTGTTAGGGCTGGACCGATCACTTTTTTTAGGGACCCGTTGAACGTTCACCTTCTGCCAAGCTCGCAGTGCTGGAGACTTTTGTACAAAAGAATTAATTCATTGTTTTTCTTAATTAATTATCAATTTTAAATAATAATTGTACAAAAAAAATAATAATAAAAGAAATGTTTTTCATAAAAATAAAAATATAAAATAAAAAAGTAAATAAATATAAATAAAAATAATTATATAAATAAAAAAAAATAAAAAAAAGTTTTTTTTTATTTGTATTTTAAAATATTAAAAGAATTTGCAATACACCCTGGGGATTATTTATTATCAGTACAAGTTGGTCATTCACTTTAATTGTTAAATGCTATTATTTTTACATACGTAAAAATAAGATTCTATCATGAAAGTAAAATATCCACACAAACGTATAAAAAAGAGTCTAAAAGACAATTGTATACAAAACTGATGCTTCACAGCGCAGTTTGATTTTACACTGAATATAAACCCTTTTAACCAAATATTTCCAGTTATTTTATTATTTATACCTATTCTATTTAATTCGAAATATATTAGTTAGAATATTTAAATTACTTTATTTTATTACAAAATTGTTTCTTAGTTGTTATGGGTAAAATTTCATACGGGAGTCAACACTGGCCCACCATCGTAAACTTTACGATAACTTTACGACGTAAAGTTATGTCTTTGTCTAATCCGAGCGATGGTATTGTTCATGTCTCGCGTGTAAATGAGACATAAATATGTTTACTTTCAAATGTTTAGTGGTATCAAAGATAGGTCGTCAAAGTTCAAAAGTGGTTACACTTTTTTCGACGTGTGATAATGAGGTTTGCGTCTCTAGTCTTGTTTTAACTCAATGGTAGAACAGGCGGAAGATTAGAAATTTCCCCAGCCAACCACAAAGCTCGACTAGCAAGAGATAGACGGAACTATCTATTATCCATCTCTCTCGTTGCCTATATTGCAATGGTGTCTGCAATGTTTCATGTATGTTTGTAAAGAAAACATCTATGAAACAAAATCGCCTGTGGTATTGGTACTCCCGGACCGATGCCATATCTGAACCTTGAGGCAAGTGCGTCTCTCGTAGCTCATAGTGCGGCAACTAGTGACTCCTGAGTTGTAGTCTTGGTTAGTACACGTACGATGTACTGATAGGTACTAGTACTGGGTATTGTACTAAAAGTAATGTTTCCGAAAGGCAGCTGTTAATCGGACATTTTGCACTATTAGTACACAGTGTTAACTTCAAGCCAGTATACTAAAACTAGATACTGTTTACTAGTGTCTACGTTCGTTCGCTGTGCGACGTACTATTAATGCTCCGCTTTATTGTTTCGTATTGGTAAACAGTGTGAGAGTAAAAGGGACAGTGATACAGGTGTACTACAATACGTTGGGTTGTAAAGTATGAAGGAAAATCAAATAGTATGCTTAAAAATTTAGTGTAAAGTAATCTAAAAAATCGTATTTAAAAGTCAAACTGTTACCGTCTTATTATAAAACGTGGACTTAAAAAAGTACCGGCTTTAGTACTAGGTTTAAACCATGACCTTGAATAAACGTTATTACAAAACGAAGTTTATCGCTAGTCCTAGAACTATCTATGGTATCAAAGTTAGACCATCGTGACCCCTAGTTTAACTATGGTACTAAATTGTCAAACGTCAAATTCTTAATTTTGAGGTTCGCTTTCGGAAAGGAATTTGTGATCAGAAACCAAAAAATGGATATTGATGCAATTGATATGTTTGATTTGGAAGATTTGAATGTGTTGGATATACTAGAATATCGGATATCGTAGCTCGGTGGCGTGGCAGTGTCCATGATTCTAGAATCTTTAGGGAGTGTCGCTTGAAGCAAAGATTTGAATCTGGAGCGTTTTCTGGCATCCTCTTAGGAGACAGTGGATATCCGTGTACACCATACTTGTTTACCCCACTGCTGAACCCAAGAACAGAAGCAGAACAAAGGTATAACAGGAGCCATATCCATACACGGAACACTGTGGAAAGATGCTTTGGTCTGTGGAAGCAACGTTTCCGCTGCCTACTAAGATGCCTATTTCCTGATGATGTCAACAATGAGCAATCCTCTAGGGATTCAATACCAGTGCAGCCAGTTCAAAATTCACTACGAGGGAATATTAGAAGAAGGCAGTTTATTGAAACTCACTTGTCATAAAATAACATTTATTATATATAACTATATTTCTTTTTTGTGATATTCATGTATGTATATGTTTAATACATGTATTATATAAATGCTAAAATGGTTTGTGGGATTCAGAAAGAGATAACACATTAAAAATAATCAAGAACTGTGTAATTATTTCTATACTGAAGAAAAGTAACTGCCTAATACAAAGCCATCTATATTAAAAAAAAACTATAACACTTTTTTTTTAATTACGTATTTTAATTTATTTAATTATTAGTATTCCGTTTCATTAATGTTGGTAATATCAATACAAACTCTTAAGTTTTCTACTTCTATTAAAACTGTACTAATAGTACTATTACGGTGTGCTAGTACGTTGTACGAATTGTACTAGTACGGTGCGAACCTGCAGATGTCCGATTAAGCACAAGACTACTGAGTTGAAGGAGGCTATGCTTATATTGCTATGGCTAACAAAAGCGACATCTGGCTGTACGTTTTGTACCTATTCACTAAATAATATGGTATGCAAAGCCTCTAGATGTCTCTGAAGTATGAAATTTCCATTTAATAAAATGAAACAAATCTATCTTATTTTCATATTTTATTATTCAATACCACACATACTTAAATTTATAGTACATTCATTTTTGTGACATTTAACATTATTTGAACACATCACAGAAACTTTTATTTGTGTAAAACTAAAAGTTTCCTTAACTCTTTCAAGAACTTCCAATATCAAAACCAAAGCTGGAATTTGTTCCCAATATCTTCCTAGGCAACGATTTCTTTTCTCAACATATGAGTGTTCTTTTAAAGCTGAAGAACTTTGAACATTATCTACAACATGTTGAACAAAATTAATGTGGGTCCGATTTTGAACACAGTAACATTATTAATGATTAACCAATGATTATCTTACCTTCCTCCTCACAAATATCAGAGTCTATCCACCTAGTTTGTATGTTTATATATACTATTCCTATATTGAATTCATTCCCAACAAATCTACTATAGTTAACCAGTGTATTTAAAAGAGATAATCCTGTAAATATTTTTATTTTTTTAAAATTACATACATACCTAACTGTAAATGTTTATTTTAAGTATAAAAAGTTGAAAGCTCACCCATCTTATTTTCATCACCGAGATATTGAAACATTAGGCATGGTAAAGAATCCACAATAACTAAGGCTAAATTTTCAATGACAAATGTTTTATTCTTTATACTTCTAAACAATTCAACTAACTCATCCATTGTCCATATATAAACTACTTTTATTTTGTACATTATACTTGCCATTTCCTGCAATTTTAATAATATTACTGACCACCTGAGAATAAGACCTGCACATTAAGTAAAGATTCAAGTTTTTAAATCAGTGTAAGAAATTTCAAATAAAAAAAAAAGTAGAGAAGACTGCAGTTAAACATGGATTATATTTAGTTACACTCGCATATGAGTAAACTTCTAATAATAACTATGTTTTTTTTCTGTTAGCTTCTTTATCAGAACTCCAAGGGAGACGAGGGAATGCACGCCGTTATTGAGGCGGTAAGACCCCTTATGGAGGATTAGCTCAAGAGGCATCACGGGACTCTCTCATACCCACTCCGATGGCCGCCATTCTGCCAGCGTGTGGAGCACCGTGTCCACGGTCTGGCCATCGCAGTGGTGACACCCAGGCGTTGGCTCCTTGCGGATCAAACGCAGGTGATCACAGGGCAAGGATGCTTCGGACGCTGGCAGAATGCCCGGCGTGGGTTCAGCAGAGGCGTGACCTCGTGGCCGCCATCGGAGCGGGAATTCTCTCGCTTAGTGAAATGATTGCGGCCATGGTACGGAGCGAGAGCGCGTGGAACTCCGCCATCTCCTACTGTTAGCAAGTCTTGCTTGCGAGACGGCGGAGCGAGACCGGGAGAGATTTAGAAATCTTCCGGTCCGCCAGGCCCGGAAACGGGCCAGGTACCGCAGACGACTCGGGTGCCGGAGGTCACAGAACGACCTTCGTCCTCCATAGGCGCAGGCCTGGGGATGACGGGTGATGTCATCTGTGACCCTAGCAGAAGCAGTCTGGGTTGGCGGTGCGACGCGCCCTTTAGTGTACAGAACGGGAACACCATGGTTCCCACACACGAGGCATCATCATTTGCATACCGTAGGGTGTTGGGTTTCCTCTCTGGGGTACACTTGGTTCCTCGGCTACTAGTACCTGAGATGGTGTTCGGTTTTTAGTTGGTTAGAGTCCGACATAACCACCGGTGGGTGGTTACGAGGGGATTTCCTCACAGAAAATAAGAAAGGGGGGAGAGGAGGAATGATACTTGCGGTTGGATTTAATTAAGGCAAAAACTTATGTCATAAAGACAATATTATCAACTCATCATCAGTCATATCTTCTGGTATGAACCAAAGTTGGTTCACTGCTAAATACAGGGAGTACAATAAAAATATTAAAACCTTATTAGAACAGTTTTGCGATCCCAATATTTGTTGTATTCTAATTGCTGAGAAATCTCCTTTGGTATCAACATACAACACAGTGCGCTCTGTATTTTTAACACAGTTTATTGCTACCTGAAATGATAACTGGGATTTGCCTGACTCTGCAAGTCCACATAATTCTGTTATACAGCCCATGGGAATCCCACCACATGTAGCAGCATCTAAACTGAAAGAATAGACAAGACATATCATTGTTTTCACATTATGTGTTCAGATAAAGCTAACTAACTGAGCCAGGCTGTTTCATTCGAGAAGTAGCAAAGTCTCTTCAGACAATCACAAGACACATTAATAGTATTGCAATAATTCACTTCAACTACATTGTGGTGTGGTTCAATTGGTGACTTGAAAGAGTGATAGTAAAAAGAGAGTTTACAAAAAACAACAACAGAATAGAATCGAATATTCTCAATTGTAAACTGTTTACAAAAAGTTTTAATCTTTACGGTAACTTATTTTATTTACTTGGTGGACTTGGACGACCTACCAGACATTATGTTATGACATGACATTCGTCTTCGGAGTGAATTGGCGGAACAGTTACAGTGCTAGTACCTGACTGAGTATTTATATATTTTATTAATTTTATGTAGGTTTATGTATGCATGTGTGTTTATATACTGTGTATGTTTCTGGACCTAAATTATGTTAAATTGCATATTTTATTTTGCACCTACCGCATCATATTTCTACATCACCTGAAGGTTGACTGGGAGAGAATGCCTAATGGCAGTAAGTGCGCCTTTGTACAATATGTGCATTAAGTTTGAAATAAATAAATATGTTTTAACTTCTGCATTACATGAAATTCTTTGCTTCTGCACAGTATTATATAGAGTAAGAGTACCTTTTAATGCCTGTGGCTATTTTTTTTTCGTTTATAAGAACTTTAGTTAACAATGTTGTGCCATTGACTAGAGGTGCAGAATACTTTTCAAATATATCACTTCTAATGGCTAGTATTTCTGGTAAATTTAATCTGGTTAATGACGACAGTTTGGAAATATCTTCTTCCAGAAAATCGTATATTGTAGTTATACGATTTTGAGTTAATATTTTTAGTACACCGTCAGACAAATGACGAATGCCTTGTGATTTCAATTTTTGCATATTGGTTTTATTGCTTTGCAGGCTAATAGTAATGAAATTACTTATTATTTATTAAGTATTTTCTATTTTAAAATAACAGTAAGAAACACCTCTTTCAAGATAATTAACTTTTGAATTTGAAGTTTTACGAGAACCGAGAAGTCGAGCTCCTTTTTATTTATTATAATTCATGACTTTGACACGAGTCTTTTAGTCAGAAATAGTTTTAAATAAGTAGGAGTAAGACATCTGTTAAAACAATGGTAAAACATATTGTTTAACCATGATACCAACCCCACGCCATAGTACCACCTCATGCATCCAGTAGTACTATGAGCATTTTTGAAAATGAGACAAACAAATCGAAAACGATTAGTGTTCGACCGAAGGTACGGTTTCGGCCAGTTACGGCCAAGAAATCTAGTTTCCTAAAATAGGCCGAAACATAACTAAACTAACTGTCCTGTGCTATCTTTTTATGGTGTTTGGGGGCAAGCCAGCAGACGGGTCGAATGATATTAAGTGACCACTTAGTGACACCTACAACTTAAGAGTCATCACTGCATTGCCGCCCTTTCAGTCCCTCCCCCCATAATAAGGGAAAGGGGATGTCTGGGCTTGGGTAACCTCGCTCAATTGGTGAAAAGCAACGAAAGAACTGCTTTACACCGGTTTTCTGTGAGATCGTGGTATCACTCAGGTTGAGCCTGGCCTATATGTGCCGAGGCATGGCTCTCCCACAACTAACTCCTTTTGTTAGTTCTCTTTTACTCATAAATAATTTTGTGAGTATATGTTTGTTTTGATTTTACTTGTACCTAACATTGTTTTATCTCAAATTCAATTATTGGGTATAGAGCTTCGTATTGTTAAGTTTTACTTATATTTTAGTGACGCATAAAAGAGATTATGCTCGATTCAGATATTACTTATGCCTTATTACACAACGTTTCTCAAATCTCATGTAACGCTTGAGCGTACTTTTATAATTTTATAATAATATAAATTACCATTTTATAATACGACCCTTAGACTATTTTTAATTACGCTAGATTTCTGTATACAATCGAAATTTAGTTTGAATTATAGTTAGAGTTTCGGTTTCGGTTACAGTTACGGCGGAAACTGAAACAAGGGCCAAAGGTTCTTAAATACATTCAAATGTATTTAAGTTGGTCATTCGTTCTTAACTTAGAATGGTACAAGTTTTGTTAGTTGTCATTGCCTATGAGCACAAGGCATGTATTTGTATTTTTGTACTTATTTAGGATAATATATGTGTATCATTTGTTGGCGACCTAAAATAAAAAAATAATATTTTATACGTAATCCTAGATTTGCAGAATATACCACATCACATGATATATACCTACAGGGTGTAAGAGACTTCGTAACAAATACGAATTAATGTATTCAGACCATTATTCTGAGCCAAAAATCATTGGAATTTTCTCCAGGAGTTTCATTTTATTCAGTAACAGTTTGGAGATAAAAGATGCATTGAAATCATGAACATTAAATTATAAGAGAGGTGCGAACCAGGTCGTATTCAATGTTTTTCAGGAGTTTATGGCCGAATTTCAAGCGAGAGGAAGTGTATATCTTTTAATAATTATTTGTTTGGAGTAAATTATCTATATTAACGCATAGTTTTCGTTTTGTTGAGGTTATGTTATTTACCTACGAAGTATACTTCAACGCAAACAAATTCCTGATCCATTTTGTATTGATACAAAATATATATTATGCTATTATTAATTGAGTACGCCTATATTGGTTTCAGATGTTTCCGTAAGCACAGTTCGCCGCATAGTGGATAAAAGCTTTAAGAATGAAGGAAAATTCGTAACACCTGATAAACAAATTTCAATATTTTTGCGAACGTCACAGTGCAGAAAGAAGTTCCTACAGTTAGAAAATTAGTAGCAGTTGTGAAGGCAGACTTAAATGATGAATCGTTACGAAAGCCATATTTTTCTTTTTTAATGCTTGTAGAAAAAAACAAACCAGAATCGGTGTACTATATTGATGGTCCTCTAGGAGAATGGGCACACAGTGATGAGACTGCCTTAACTTACCACTGCAACCTGAATTACATAGAATTAGTTTGAGCAATAGTAAAGAAACGAATTGCACAGAAAATGTTGGTGGTAAAAATGTCGCGAAGTTGGCTAAAGAAGCATTCTAGTCGGTAACAGTACAAGAATGGAAGAATTAAAAAATTAAAATGAATATTTTAACCGTGGAAGAACTCTGTATAATGACATAGACATACTTATTGCATCGGTATATGGTGATGGTTAGTGATTCTGAAGAGGTGCAAATAAATGAAGCAAGAGTTTCAGGCAACTTTTCGGATGTTGACTACCTTAACTTAGACGAATAAATTAGTATTATAAAAAAATATACAATAAAACTACTTCTTTTTTTTATTTCAACACCATGTGCCTGCTGTCTGGCTAGTATGTGCATTCTATGCTTTTCGTACCTTATTATTCGTAGGTGCAACATAAGTGTTTCAATAGGCAGAGGATCCCCTTGATTCACATTTGTTTTTATTGCCTAATATATTTTTACTTGACTATTAAAGGCATAGTAATACTCTGTCATATTATGTTTGGCATATTGTGTGTTTGTCTGAATATCTGTTTGGCTGAATACAAGTTATCGTTAGCTACGAGTATGTAATAGCTCTTCTGTATCATCATATGAAAGGCTAAGCAGGTAGTTCTGTACTCTCTGTTTACACTGTGTTATATTAAGTGTATGAAGGTTTAATTAACACTCTTTTAAAGTAGTACGTATGGGCTATCTCAGTTTTTTATAATGTGATTTTGTTAGCCCTTCCCAGGAAGATAGAGCAAGTGAGAAGGCACTGAGCCAGGAAATTATATTTGGTTTTAAAGATTGAGGCATCCGTAATATCCAAATATAAATATACTTGAACAAACGAGGACTTAGCACTTTAATTTGTTCTACAAAGTTCAGATTGGAATGTTTTGTAACGCCCAAGTATTTGTTTCTATTAACTTGTTTAAGACATTTGTAATGAATAAATGATTGAAATCATAAACCCTACTCGGGATTGTACAGGGATTGAGGTATCATAAAACAATTATTTCGTTTTATAAAATAAAAAAACAAGATATCAAATTCTTTTTGTTGAAGTATAAGTAATGCCAGGTATAACGGCAGTGGCACCCTCAATTTTTTTCACGACTTTCTTAACAGACTGTATATATGTTAATATAAATGACTAGCTGACCCGCGCAACTTCGTCTGCGTCTCTTAATAGTAATAAATTTTCTCCGTTTTTGAAACATTCTACATTGGTGCTCCGCTCCTATTGGTCTTAGCGTGATGATATATAGCCTATAGCCTTCCTCGATAAATGGGCTATCTAAAACTGAAAGAATTTTTCAAATCGGACCAGTAGTTCCTGAGATTAGCTCGTTCAAACAAAACAAACAAACAAACTCTTCAGCTTCATAAATTAGTATAGATTTTTGTGTTCTTTAGCTTTATAAATATTTGTATCTTTGTGGTTTAATATCTTAACGCTTCGTAAAAAGTTCGACAAAAGTTATCTCTAAAATCTGTAAAAAATAAATAAAAAAAAACACCAGGTTAGTGATTTTAGGACAATAACTTAATGTTTTTCAATTATTAATATTTTAATAATGAAGTAGTTTTTAGTATGTACCTACCTCAAGAATTTCCTTTCTCAGTTGAATTTAATAAATAATAATAAAAATGTTTATTCTCTTTTCCCAAATGGATGCCTTAACAAAATAATAAAGTAGTGAGTTAGCTTCTTAAATCCACATTTGGGAAAGACTGGTGCCCGATGTAGGTTAAAAAAAGAAACCTGTGTTACGGGTCACCAGGCCATCCGCGTGGTAAGAATAGGAGATAGACAATACACCGAGAAAATTAACAATTAAACAAACTAAGACCATTACAATACTAAAAAGAAAACATAAAAAGAATTTTGAAAATCGGTCCACAATTGACGGAGAAATCGCGTAACAAACATACATAAAAAAAAAACAGACGAATTGAGAACCTTCTCTTTTGTGTTTTGGAAGTCGGTTAAAAAGGACAAACATTCTTTACTTAAAGTAAAGCAGAATTAAAATGAAAATAAATGTGTGTGTATGTCTGTGTGTGTGTGTGTGTGTGTGTGTGTATATGGGTTTGGGTGTATGTGCAAGAGTGTGCACATACGTGCAGAGTGCGTAAGTGATTATGACTAGTGAAGAGAGTGTTGTGATATTGTATTGCGAGTTTGACATTAATGATAGCAGGGTCAGGGAATATATGCAATTTTTGAGGATTGTTATTAAATTTTCAGTTGTATCATAGTCAAGGGTTTTCAGATAGCATTTTAGCATCTGCAGACAGACAAATCTACTTTTGGGGTATATGTTAAGGTTACTGTTCATTTTATTGTAACCATTTGACCCAAGACAACAGAAGAATCTTTGAGAGAGTGAAGATTTGAAATTAAAACGAGGACATACTCTACATTTTCGTCGCTTATCTTTGAGAAAGCTAACGTCAAACTGATGCACGAAGTGTTTTATAAGTACAATTTGCAAAAAAATTTCGTCTTACAGTAAGTGGGGTAACGTAAGGGGAGACTAGCAGCAACCTTGAGAATATCACGTTGCGTTCTTTCAATATCGATAATGTGAGTCTTGGCCGCACCTCCCCATGATATTATACAATAATGAATAAGGGATCAGTCTGCCGAGTGCCTTTATGCTCTGAATATATAGATAAGTTTTCGTACTCTGTATACAAGAGCCTCGATGTACCTATGGTTTAAATGTGAGATGGTAATCAAAAATCAGACCAGGAAATTAACACTATCAGCTCTCCCAAGAGACGGATAGGAGCAGTCAGAATTTAGGTACAAGTGTGGGCGGTTAGGGTTAAAGATGATGGTGGGAGCAGGTTAGCTCTTTGTGCAAAAGCCATTTATTTTGTTTAGGATCTCCTGAACCGGAACATCTGTCAGATATTGTAGCGTCAAGATATTGCTTTGCAGCCATTCACCAACCTTTTTAAAACCTAACTGAGCCATGGAAAAGACCTCCTCCCAGCTGTCGCCGCTGAAGAACAGTGCAGTGTCATCAGCAAATGTAAAAATCCTACCATTATTGATAGGAAGTTGGCAAAGGTCGCTGATGTACACCAGAAAAAGTGTCAGACTGAAAATGCTACCCTGCGTTACGCTATATTTGGTAGTCAACTCATCACTAAGTCTATCGTTTCTTTTTACGCGTTGTTTTCTGCCAGTAAGATAATCTTTTATCAATCTTAGAGGAGTTCCTCTTATACCAAGCTCTTCCAATTTTTGTAATAGGTGCGGGATTGAGACAGTTTCAAAAGCCTTCTGAAGGTCAAGGAACAGCGTAAGGCATTTCTTTTGTCATCTAAGCTGGTGACGATATAGTTCTGTAATTCATGAACCACACCATTAGTACATCGACTTATTCTAAAACCGTATTGAGTGGAGTACATCACATCAACAGCCTTTGACAGTCCACTGCTAGACATAAGCCTCTACTTAGAAAGGAGGTTTTGGCCTACTATACCACGCTGGCCAGACGGGTTGGTATAGGGTTTGTGTCAAGTTTTCCTTCTCTATACAGTGCTGGTGTTCTGCGCAGTTTTTTCCCTTAGTCGGCTCTTACGACACCCACGGAATGAATAGGGGTGGTGACACTCTGTATTCTTAATCCGTCACCACACGGTTCGAGCGGGGTAAAAGCAGTTTATTAACTTCGAGAAATTTTACGAGTCGCTGGTTTATTAGGAGCTCCAAAACTTTAGACAGTGCTGTTAGTATGGAGATAGGACGGTAGTTACTAACACAGTCTCTTTCACCTGCCTTATGGATAGGTTTGATAACCACTGCTTTGAACGCTGCAGGGAAAATACCCATAGAGACCGACAAGTTACAGATATCTGCAATGGGAGAGGTAGGGATGCTTGCATACCTCTTTAAAGTAGTAGTGATTTGATCAACACCTACAGCACAGTTATCTTTGAGGCCTTTTTATATATTATGAAAAATGATAAATGAATTTAAAGTGGCTGCTGAATTATAGGTATGGGTAATTTAAGTTTTGAAGAGTGTGACTTCTACATAGTAAATAGGTATTTTGTGAATAGATAGGACTATTTTTTGTAAATAGATAGAGTTAAGTGACAAATTGACTAAGGCTAGCATATCGCGAACAAACCCTATATTGCATTATTTTTTCTTCAATTTCTATGTTGTTGGCGAAAATTAAATAGCAGCCACTTTTGATCGCAAAAATCGCACTGAGTTAAAATATAATATATAAATAAGATATTTATGTAAAATTAGTGCTTAGTTATATATATATATATATATATATATATATATATATATATATATATATATATACCTACAAGTAACGATCGTTTTTCATTTGCTGTCCTCGTACGACATTGCAATATTAGCAAAATAATATTAGCATTGGCAATTAACATACTAAGACAAGAATTCGTAGTTAATTAAGTTAAATCTAATTTGCATTAATACCCTAAACTTAATGGTCAACTGCCTATCGGTCAAATATCTGCACGGGTGGCGTAGTTATTTAAACGGTCACCTCGTCGCTTCCTCTGCTTGTTAAGTTCCTCTTCCTACTGCCCTGAGTGTTGTGCATGAAAAACACTTTATGTGATCCACAAATAGTTGTTTTGAGTCTCGGTGTTATTTGTGTCGGTTTCATGTATGTCTGTTAAATCCCCCGCTATGCAGCATCAATTCCTAAGACCAGTGGATGGTGGCCATTTAGATTTTTTATAACATTTCCATTTGTATTTTTTCTTAAATAGAAATCGCAAGATTCTGCTGAACCTATGTGTTAATCCGAGTTTTTAAAGCTACTACTACAAATATTTTATCTAAGGCTCTAAAATAAGGATTAAACAACGTGAAAAAATTGGAGGCACCATAGATTAAAATAACAATTAGACTGGCGGCACCGACGCCCGCCATTTGTGTTTGCTGTCAAAAAGCAATGTAATGTCCTGGAATTGCGAATAATTTGAGTTTGTTACTGCGTAATTACGTAGGGAATTCTGTTTATCTATTTGTTTTATTATTTTTCACAATGTCTAATATATCACTTGACAAAGATACATTTTATCGACGTATGAAGAAGCTTTACGCAGCATGGAAGGTCGGTTAGTTTTCTTAAAATGTTACAAGTGATTTTACTATTATTTTTGATATAATTTCTTTACCAATAGGGTGCTGCAGTGGATTCAAAAGGAGATGATGCCTTGGCGAAGGTTGATTGCCTGGTTTCTTGCGTTGGAGTGGATGAAGATACACTTTACAGCAAATCAACAGCGCTACAGGTTTGCGCGAGTTTATTTTATTGTCCATGTGGTTATCTGAACATTATCATGAAATTAAAAATTATTTTTGTTAAGTATCCTTCAATTACTGAAGTATGACAGTGTTAGTTTATATTTAAGACCCAACATCTAAAATCGTTTGTGTATCAAGAAAACTCAAAAGTTAAAGCTATTGTATTTGATTTTTGTGGCCCATTGAATGTTCAGAAAACTAGATAACTGTCATAGAAACTTAAGAAAATGTGTTATAAACATCCTTTGGCATTTGCTAAAATAAAGTTGAAATATTTTAATTTCGTATTTCTGATAATGATACTGCTAAGAAGTATAAAATTTACAAAATGGTTTAACTAATTGGAAATTTAGAAGATATGAGTTTGAGTGCCTGTTTTCTACTTGCAAGTCCCAACCAACCAAAAAAGACAGTATAATCCATAGATCAATTCTTAAATATAATTTTTATTTGACTAAGGAAACTACTTTTGTAGTGCCCCTTTGTGTGTTCACACATCATTCATACACATTTCAAAAAATTCTCGATTTTGATTCAGTGTTGCACAATTTTATGAAATAAAAATATTGAATTTGATCATTGCCATATCTACAGATACTGTAAAATGGAACATTATTAGAACAGTTTTAAACACTGTATAAAAACTGGCACAACTACTTTAAAATTTATTATTATTTTGATCAAAAATATTTTTTAATAATTGTTGAAATAATCATCATAAAATTTAACATGGGAGTAAAACTCTTAGTAATTCTATCTAGATTTAATATAAAAAGTCACAACACTTAATGATATATTTTTTTTCACTAGACATGGCTGTTTGGTTATGAACTACCAGATACTATAACAGTGCTTACGGAACATAGCATGTGTTTCCTTGCAAGCAAAAAGAAGATTGAGTTTCTGAGACAAATTGAAAATGGCAAAGAAGAATCTGAACTACCTCCAGTTAAATTACTTATTAGAGACAGAGTAAGTAAAAATATAAATAATTATTTTTTTGATTTTATGGTCCCATTCTTTTAATAAACATACTCTTTTAATAACTAAAGTAAAGTTTTAAAAAGATCTTTTATGGTGTATGAGTGTTTATGCATAACAAACTCATTATGTTAATACTTACTACCACACATAATTTTGAAATCATAAACTCTACAATATCAACACAGTGATGCATATTCTGTTAAGAAGCACACAATGATACATTTTTATGAGTCACAATATTGTTATTTTCAGTAAAACTTTACCATAGGATATTGGTACTTTACATGTATTTTTTTCTCATTAATTAATTACATACTAAGTTACTAACCAGCATTGTGCTATGATTAATACCTAACAATGTCAGTGATACTGACATGTGGTTGTGTTGACATTGACATAATTTAATTGATTTGGTTGAATTTTTTTGTTTTCAGAATGACAAAGATAAGGAAAACTTTAGCAAGTTAGTACAAGAGATAAAAAAATCGAAATCTGGCAAGTCACTAGGTGTTTTTGCCAAGGATAATTATCCTGGTGAATTCTGTGAGAGTTGGAAGGGTATTATGAAGGCAGAAAAATTCGAAAACGTAGATATAAGTTCAGCCATTGCTTTATTAATGGCTCCTAAGGAAGATTCAGAGATTATTACTGTAAAAAAAGCATGTTTAGTGACAGTTGATGTGTTTACTAAATATTTAAAAGATCAGATTATGGAAATCATTGATTCTGATAAGGTGAGTGTCTTCAAGTTTGTTTATATTTTGCTAGGTAGATAGATGATAATGGTGCTAATTTTGTTGGTTGAAAACTCTCTAAACTAAACTAAAAGTCACAAAAAATTTGTTTAGTCCTGTCAGAATCGTTTCGTATTCAGAAAATGTAGTACTTGACAGGACTAAATGATTTTTAAGTTTAGAGAGTTTTGGAACAACTGAATCAGCACCAACATGTTATTTGTACAAGGTTTTTAGGGATACTGAATGCATAAAAATATACATGTTAGTGCCACTGCTGTTCAGTGAGCTAGTATATCTTTGATTCTTCTATCTTATCTATATTCTCTTACTCTATATTTATAAATGTTCTGTTCGTGCAACTAATAGGTTATATTGGAATAATTTTGTTTAAATTTATTACAGAAAGTAAAACACTCAAAACTAGCAGAGGGTGTAGAAGCTGCAATATCAGATAAGAAATATGTAACAGGGGTGGACACCAGCCAAGTGGACATGTGCTACCCACCTATTATACAATCAGGAGGACACTACAGTCTCAAATTTAGTGCCGTATCTGATAAAAACCACTTGCATTTTGGTGCTATTGTCTGTTCACTTGGTGCGCGGTACAAATCATATTGCTCAAACATAGTCCGCACACTCCTTGTTAATCCAACAGATGAAATTCAAAGCAATTACAACTTTTTACTGAATATAGAAGAAGAAGTAATGAAAAAATTGGTGTCTGGAGCGAAATTGTCAGTGGTGTATGAAGCTGGATTGGAATTGGCTAAAAAAGAGAAATCCAGTTTGGTTGATAATCTTACTAAATCTTTTGGGTAAGTGTTTGGTTTTCACGTTACATATCTCATAACTGTATAGTGTATATCAATAACTATTTCTTCTCTGACAAAAGTTCCACTCTGTAAATTGCTAAATATATATCTTAATTATTGTATATTTACACCTGGTGTACAATAAAGCAAAATATATTATTTTTAAGCAAGCATACTTTAGTATATTTTTGTCTTCCATTCTATATATTATACATAAATAAATAAATAGGTAACAAAAAGCAATTTTGAGATATAAGAAAATGTACCCATAATGTACTACCCAGGCACTACTGAATTTGTTAACTTACAGTTTATATCTAAGTTACTGTTAAAGTATAAAAATATGTACATGCACATTAAATCTCGTTATTTAAAAATTACAAAAATGTGTCTTAATTACAGGTTTGCTATGGGCATAGAATTCCGTGAAAGTTCCATAGTAATTGGTCCTAAGACATCTGCTGTAGCTAAGAAAGGCATGGTGTTTAATATTAATATTGGCTTGGCTAATTTGACAAATAGTGCAGCCACAGAGAAGGAAGGCAAGGTATGTATTGATAGTTGACCCAGAATTTTTTTTGCTTTTATAACAGTTTTATGACAACAACAAGAAAACGACAAAGAAAAAGTTTTTTTACTAATCGAAAAGCAATCAGTTAGACTGCACAGATGGCGTAGTGTAGTGGTTTAAGCGGTCACCTCGCCGCTACTTACTGGAATGAGTTTTGTAGGTTCGATCCCCATATGGGACAACACTTTGTGAGATCCACAAATTGTTGTCCTGACCCTGGGTGTTCTTTGTGTCCATTTCATAAATGTATGTAAAGCCATATAAAAAAAGTTTAAAAACTGCTCGCCACGCTTATATAAGTGTATTTGATAAGTAAGGCTGAAAATTTTCCACACTGAATTTATCTAAATACAGTGTGGAAAATTTTCAGCTAGCCAGAAAATTTAGCCTCTCTTCGTATCTACGAAGAGAGGCTAAATTTTCTGATAATACATGTCAATGTTCTTAGAAATGCGTTTCTACTTTTTTCAGACTTACGCTCTATTCATCGGTGATACAGTATTAGTGAACGACGAACAGCCGGCGTCGCTTCTCACACAATCTAAGAAAAAGATAAAGAATGTTGGTATCTTCTTGAAAGATGATGATGAAGAAGAAGAAGAGGAAAAAGAAAACAAGACTGAAATACTTGGTAAGTGAGAAAGTGTAAATGAGTTTAAGTATTATGAGAATGATATCAAAATTTGAACTATGGATGTAAGTGATAAAAACCAATAAATTAAGCTTTTTATTGGTATAGACTTATTCTTATGTGGATGATGATAATCTTAAATATATGGGAAAACTTTAATCTTGTTGGATTATTACTCAAATAATGTCTTGGGACTCTTAAAGACTTCCGACTCCCCAAAGATGAAAGTTTGCTGTTTGTTTTACATTATCTGATTGTGTATAATGTGTGGTGTACTAGAACGATTGTAGCTTATAAATGTATACCTATTTAATATCGACATGTATAATATTTCTAAAGGTTTCAGTAAATGATTTGACCTCACTAACAGCAATAAGATGAACAGAAATGTCTTATACTTAACTAATCTTGTTTTCTTACATGCTATCGGAATGTATAGAGAATGGAGGTGAGTGTAATCATAATTATTAAGACAAAATATTATTTACTACTAATATGCATCTTGTTAATTCATAAGCGTCATTGCACACACTGGCTTTGAAAGTAAATATATTTATCTTGTTATATGACGTTGTTTTTTAGAAAAAAACCTTTATTTTTCATAAGTATGATATTATTGCAGGTAGGGGTAAAAGAACAGCAGTTATCGAATCAAAACTTCGTACGGAGCACTCTTCGGAAGAAAAACGTAAAGAACATCAACGAGAATTGGCCATAACACTTAATGAAAAAGCAAAGGAACGTTTAGCCAAACAGTCTAGTGGCAAGGAAGGTGAAAAGTTAAGGAAAAGCACAGTTTCGTATAAGAATGTGAGTCAAATGCCGCGGGAAAACGAGGTCAAAGAACTTAAATTATACGTTGGTAAGTAAATTAGTGTTCATTATCGTTTATATTTATTTTATAAAGTTAATAACAAATAATTCGAAACTGTCTATCATTTTCAAATATTCTAACAAAATATAAACAATACACACACAAAGTCGTCAATGGATTGCTTTGTGGAAATATAAAATTATTGTCACTTGTAAAGGCTTTTGTTAAATCACACAAGCAATCAGTTAAATCACAACACTAGTCTATGCGTGTTTAGAAAACAGTGATGCATCAATCAAACTCCAAGGTCCAACCATCTATCACGGAGAGTGCTCCGAGGAATTGCTCGGACTAATACCAGCCGCAAATTTCCGCCATCGTTCAACACGGCAAAATTTTCATCCTCATTACCTGGATAGTTGGCGCTCCACTACTGTGCGCTTTTCGAGACACTTTTTGCCCCGCACAACCAATCTGTGGAATGGGTTATAAAAAAATAAATCAAGTATGAAAGCTTGATCAATGCGTCACTGTTTTAGTAAATCTTTTTCTTTTGAATCAAATCACTTTTCGACTTTTTTATTCTTTACCTGAAACTCTTAGTATTCATAATTAAACTTTGAAGAATGTAGTTTTGTATGCATTTCTCTTTTGTCAGATTCTTTACAAAAACTTATTTGTCACAATTAGTGTAGTTATTTTTGTGCAAATAACAAGATTGTTTTTTACCATCAAATATTTACTGATGACTTGATATTTTCCAGATCGTAAATACGAAACTGTTATCCTACCGATATTCGGCGTGCCAGTCCCATTCCATATATCGACCATAAAGAACATCTCTCAGTCTGTGGAGGGTGATTACACTTATCTTAGGATAAACTTTTTCCATCCCGGTGCCACTATGGGTAGAAACGAGGGCGGCAATTATGCGCAACCTGATGCTACATTTGTTAAGAAGTGTGAGTCGTTACTGCAACTTTAATAAAAAAATGTTAAACTATTTTTGTATCTTATTATGACTATTTTTTTTTGATTTAAAATACTTTGCAAGTTCACAAATTGTTTTTTGTTTATATAGGACATACAGAAGTACAAACACAAAAGAACCAGGCGAAATATCACCTCCATCTGCAAATTTAAATACCGGCTTTAGATTAATTAAAGAAGTACAGAAAAAGTTCAAAACCAGAGAAGCAGAAGAAAGAGAAAAAGAAGATTTGGTTAAACAAGACACTTTGGTTATCTCACAAAGTAAAGGCAATCCAAAACTAAAAGATCTGTATATAAGACCCAATATTGTGACCAAGAGAATGAGTGGATCTTTAGAGGCACATACAAACGGCTTCAGATTCACATCTGTCAGAGGAGATAAAGTAGATATTCTTTACAATAATATTAAAAATGCATTCTTCCAGCCATGTGATGGTGAAATGATTATTCTGTTACATTTCCACTTGAAACATGCCATTATGTTTGGTAAGTAGCTCTAAAATCGTATGACAAAAATGTTTGGGTCACTTTAAATGTATGTATGTGACTTCTTCAAAGTCTTTTTACTATTTATATACTTATTGTTTTATTTACTTAAGGTAAAAAGAAACATGTCGATGTCCAATTCTACACTGAAGTGGGTGAGATAACGACAGACTTGGGCAAGCACCAGCATATGCACGACAGAGATGACTTGGCAGCAGAGCAGAGTGAACGGGAGCTGAGACACAAACTCAAAGTTGCCTTCAAGAGTTTCTGCGAACGAGTTGAGAACATGACTAAACAGGAGGTGGAATTCGATACACCATTTAGGTAATACTTCGATGTATTACCAATTATCTAAAGCTGAAGAAGTGAGAGGTTCATACACTTTTACTTCTATCCCAGTCGACTCTGCCGACCATGACTTGCGATGGCTGGCTAACATGCTGGGCTGATTTGAGGTCACTCATTCGATTATTCGAAACTAGCAATCAAATGCTAGAACTCAGAGTCGATTTGCCGAAAATTTTGAATTACTTGAATTTACATTTCTTTTTACACACTTTAATTTAGCTTCACTTGTATGTTTGTTTGTATGTTTGTAACCGACTCCTTTGGGCGTGATTTTGACTGACTTTAAACTGTCAGAATTCGTTCAAACTTTGTAGATATATCGAGGACCGATGACAATACACTAATTTAAAAAAAAAAAAGTTTTTACTATTGACAACAGGCACCCAACGCTTTTTTTCAAATTTATTTTCTATTTTTTAGGTTGGTTTTCTATTGAAAGCGTGTTTTTTAGTTTTTTAAAACTATATTTTTTATTTATTATTAACAACAAGTCATAATCAACATTACAAAAATATTTGAAATGTTATAAAATGGACTGACTAATAGTAAAATATGCTTGAATATTGTAGAGAGCTGGGCTTCCCTGGAGCGCCGTTCCGCAGCACGGTGCTGCTGCAGCCCACGTCGGGAGCTCTCGTCAACCTCACGGAGTGGCCGCCGTTCGTCATAGCACTTGAAGATGTAGAATTAGTCCACTTCGAGCGTGTGCAGTTCCATCTAAAGAACTTCGACATGGTGTTTGTGTTTAAGGACTATGCAAAGAAAGTTGCTATGGTGAATGCCGTACCAATGAATATGCTGGATCATGTTAAGGAATGGCTAAAGTAAGTTTGGGAATGGGATAATGACATTGTTTTCCAGTTGAAATTCTAAGTTATCTATAAATTAGAATTGTCAAAAAACTTTACATAGTAAAGATAATACCATCACATATATAATAAAATTCCTTGGCCTAAAACCCGATGTATTTATATTTTCAGCTCTTGTGACATTCGTTATTCCGAGGGTATTCAATCTTTAAATTGGACGAAAGTCATGAAGACTATAACCGATGACATTGAAGGATTCTTCGATAATGGCGGTTGGTCCTTCTTAGATCCAGAGTCAGATGCGGAAAATGCAGCAGCGGTTAGTAGAGTATTGAATGCTATATTCTTATATTCATTGTAATTTTTATTTCTTCTTGATTCTATTAATGTATTTATATTTATTCTGGTTGGTCGACAACCATTCTTACAACGGCTGCCACCACGTTGATAAAGGACATTACCATATCCGCATAGTATAAATAACACTAATAAATCAAGCAATTTTTCACTCTATATATAGGATGAATCATCGGAAGAGGAAGATGATGCGTACGAACCGACAGACGCTGAATCCGAGGAGGACTCAGATGACGGGTCTGAATACGATTCTGAAGCGTCAGATGAGTCCGACGCCTCTGGAGATAGTGAAGGTATGTTTGATGCTTTACTATAGAATTTCCTTAAATACGTTCGTATCCGAACTGCCTATAAGAAACTAACATTACGGGGAATGTTAGTTTCTTACTGGCATTTATTTCCTGTATCATATCTTGAAACAAGATATTTTTTGACACCTGAGACAAACCAAATGCCATTTGGATGGCCTGTCACTCGGCAATCAATAATAATAGACAACTCTGTCTTTTTAATAAAGGAAATGATATTCAATATTTTAACAGTTCAGTTACTTAAATAAGTCTTTAAAATTTTCTGATAAAATATACATATATCTCCATAGACCGTTATCAAAGATCTCAAATTGAACGTTTTAACTTACAGAAGAAGATGAGGAGTCGGGGAAAGATTGGTCTGATTTAGAAAGAGAAGCTGCAGAAGAAGATAAAAAAGAGAGGATCTATGATCGTGAGACTGACTTTGACCGGAAACGTAAAGGTGGCCCCAGCGGCAGACATTACGAAGAAGATGAGGGCCGCGGGAAGAAAGGCAAAAATGACAAGAGTTCGAACCACAAGAGTTCAAACCACAAGAGCTCTAGTTCCAACCATAAAAGCTCAAGCTCAAATCACAAAAGTTCTAATCATAAAAGTCCATCAAAACACAGCAATAGCAGGTACACTTGTAAAACATTCGCATTGCTTAATGTTATGTTTAACAAAATGCAAATAATACCTTATGCAAAAAAAAATGCTTTTCCTTTCAGCCCTTCAAAGAATCGCGATAAGCACCACAAATCTCACTCTGACCGTGACAAGTCGAACAGCAAATCTAATGACAAGAAACACTCCAGCGACCACAAGTCGCATAAGCGATCGCGCGATGATAGTCGAGATAATGACCGTCATTCTAAAAAAGCTAAGTGAGTATAATTTACATATAATTAGTTTATAATACGATTAGAAGGCCAATTCTTCTGATAAAAGTTCGGTCAAAATTCAAGTACGATCAAGTTTTCGTGGTATTAAACTTCCAAAGTTGACTGTCATGCGATTTTATTGTATTGGGACCGAAAATTAAATCGGTAATTTGCTTGTTTTAATAATACTAATAGATATTTAATAATTTACTGCGATAATACCTGTTATGACAGTTGCGATATCGAGAGTTTATTGGAACTGAATTTTGATCGAACTATTACGAGAATTGGCCTTCTGGTGCCAGTGATATATTTTATGGAATATTACAAATCAGATTCAAGGGTTCTTTCATATTTCTTTAATGTAATATATGTTTTAGATGTGATTCTTGACACCCTAAAAGCCCAAATTATTAAGCAGTGCTATTAAAGTTATAAAGGGTATATTATATCCATAGGACATAAGTGTGGGCGAGTACAAATGGAAAGCTTCTTTCTTAACGCAAATGGACTAGTTTTTATATCTTTAGATTTCGGAAATAATGTGATGGTTGACCAGATCAGGATCCTGATAGATCAGTTTATCAGTGGTGAAAACTAAACTTGCTAGTACTGAATATAAGTTTTTTTTTCAGAAAATAATCTACATAATAATCATTGATTTGATAATCCTGGAGATAACGGGTTTTAGTTGACGTTATCGGTTACTTACTCAGTTGTATCCATACAACTCACAAGCAGTGTCCAATGTCCGTCTGAGTGTTGTTCAAATCAGGTCTGAATGTTTAGTTATGAATGTAAGTTTATTTCCAATTCCAATGAAAGCAGTAATTTAAATTAAATGATAAAGAAATAAATATAAGGATTTATTATTTGCTCATTTCATTTATTTCCCAGTGTCCACAGTGTTTCATAACCTGATACTATATAAATAATGGTAACAACCAAAGACTAGTTAATTCTAGTATTGTAATTTCGATACTATTTTATCGTAATTAAGTCATAAACAAGCACACAAAATTGATAAATTGAATAACTTTCTACAGTATGCTATTACAAAATCTCCTGAGAATAATCTGATATACTAACTTATAAACGTCCTAAGTTAATCACATAATTACAACGTACATTATTTACATAGAAAACTACATTCGTGTAGATAGAGTAAAAAACGTCACTAAAGAAGGCTGATCAAGAAGGAAGATAGATAAAATTTGTATATTCATCTAAGTGGTTAGTGAATTTGTTATATTTTTCATCTGTCATCATCTATGAAAGATAAATTACATAAATACACAATTACATCATCGTAATTGGCTATCATAACACTTTGCAGAACTGAACAGAAATTATATACATTCTTACTTAGAAATTGACAGAAACAGTGCGCAACTAACAGACATATGTGACCTACAGACTCATAGCCAATTAGGGTTAATATGTAAAAACATACATAGCAACAATTCTGCAGCTGCATTGTTTCGACGCTACATATATTACGTAAGTTTATATTTAGACCTTTCTGTATGTGAGAATACAGATCTAAATTCGCGAATAATTTTCGTATATCCCGCGTTTTCTAAAGCTTAATGATGTATGTAATCGTAACATCTGTTCTGCGATGACTACGACTATGTAAGGTAAACGAACAATTCTGCTTATATTTCTGATTCAGCCTCTTGTGCGGCGACAATTGGTCTACGAGGTAATACTGATATTCTAGAATCAGGTAGCTTGTTCACATCTTGCACCTTCGGAGTATCTTGTTCCTTGCTGCTATACCAACTCTTCTTATTGACTAGCATCAGCAGCATTAATGCGGGCAAGTGTATCAATGAAAACCTGAATAGCTTCCTTGAACTGCTACTGTCTGATTTTTTGTGAAATTGCCATGCTGAAATTTAAATGTCTTGTGTAAAAAACAATTTATGTCAAGGTTTTTTAGCAATTGGCCTGATAAGGAATATGAAGTCCTTCATTAATGAAACATATGTTAATGTATGTATTAACGTCACAAGAGACAACTTAAGATGTGTCTCGTTTACTTGTAACTTGTATTAAATTTATAATAACATGGATACTCTACATAAACAATATGGTTAAAACGATACAACGACAGTTGGCCACAGCATATATTAGAATAATTTCATGTTCAGTGATCAACTATAATATCTGGCTACCCACATGAATGAAAACTTTAAGAATCATATATTAATTAACTCACCTAAGTACATAAAATATAGATTTAACGGTAGTGATTCTACTGCAAACCACATGTTAGTAACTTCGAAGTAAGAGGAGGCGAGGCAAGTACCGACGATCACACCTGTGTGTCTGAGAGCCACTCTTCTACATAATGCTAGAAATACAAATTTTTCATATTTAATTAATGTTTGTACAATATATATCTCATGACATATACACAACATGGAAACCATTTCCTTCTTAATAAAAAAAGGGATCTTATCAGATCACACATCTATGGCTCACCTGGATCAGTAACAGCCATCATCCTGTATCCAGCTCGTGAGTAATCGGGCCGTAAATTCCACGAGAGCGCGTTAAAGTGAGGGAACTGCCAGGAGTACAAGATCACACCAAGAACGATGGCGCCTGGATCGAGCGCGCCCGTGCACCCCACCCAGCCCATTAGAGGAGGTATCGCTCCGACTGTGGACACAGATATAAATTCTTTATTCACAGGTACAATACAACCAATTTCAACTATGTAAATTATATTAACTCTTAGAAGATCTGGACACCCTAGTACGCTAGTATCACTATATTGTATTTTTGATAAATAGAATCGCCTGATAGATCGATAATAATTTCGCATTTCGGTTAACTGATCATGACAAATAACTCACCTACAGACCCAAGCCAAGTATTTAAAATTGATATCCTCTTCATAGGTGTGTAGACAGATGTGTAAAGTATGAGGTTCGTAGCCCCCAATGCTGCAGTAAGCGGGTTGACCCCGAAGTATAGCAGTCCAAGTCCTGTGGTACCTGCCGCTGTCGCGAATCCTATCGCGTGGACCGGCCTTAGGATCAAAACCAATATATTATGTTCTTACTGATATTAAGAAAATATATGCGGATTAATTGCAATTAATTAATGCTACATAATCCAAAGCTTATGATCATATATATTAGGTTCGCAACAAACGTTAGCGACCTGTCAGGGATGAGATTTATTCCTTATTTCATAATTTGAACGAAATAAAAAAATTAGGGGTATGAAAAATAGATGTTGGCCGATTGTCAGACCTACCCGATATGCACACAAAATTCCACGAAAATCAGTCGAGCCGTTTCGGAGGAGTTCAACCACGCACACCGTGACACGAGAATTTTATGTATTAGATTTTAAAATGTGCATTTGTTGCAATGTGCAGAAAAAGTTAAAAAAAAAAAATTCGAAATTAATTCATTATCAAGCTAAATCACCAATTTGTAATAACAACTACACAAAGCTCCTAAAGCTGACCACACCTTTTCGTAACATCCTACCAGATAAAGGGTATTCCAATTGATAGGGAGAGAGAGTTCACTGCCATTATGTCATGTGTGCATAAACATAACATTCAGTTTTATTCATGTTTATTTTGCTTTTCTGTGCTGTAATTGAAATGTGTACTACTTACTCCAATAATCCTTTGACAAGCACTCTGTTTTTCGTTCTGGACATTTGAGCATCGAATGGTACTTCATGGAACTGGTTAATTGAATTAGCTGCAGCCGACGTTAGGCCAGTGCCGACGGCGCAAAGAGCGAATGTAGTAAGGTTGAAGGGTGCAGGTGCGAGAGCATAACCGGCCATCGAGGTCATCACTACCAAGGCTGTAATTCAACCGTAAAAATTAGGACTAGGTTTTTTAAACCATATTAAAATGACTTTGTTAACGGAAAAAGAAATATTGCGTAACATAAAAAATGGTTCCCAACAAAGCTGTATATTACCATATTTTCACAAAAAGATACCAAATTCAGGTACAAGAAAATGACCAAGATCAATCCGGCATTAATGGATTTTCCTCGCAAAACCTAAATGTGAACATATCACTAGCTTTAGGCCAACAAAGTTGCATATTCAAAGCGAATGTGTGGACAATAACTTACGCCGCCAACAACATCATCTCACACACACATCACCTCAACAGCCTTTACTAGTCCACTGCTGGACACAGGCCTCTCCTTAGAAAGGAGGTTTTGGCCTACTATACCACGCTGGTCACACGGGTTGGTTTGTTTCAAGTTTTCCTTCTCTTTGCAGTGCTGTTGTCCTGCGTAGTTCGCTTCCTTAGTCGCCTCTTACGAAACCCATGGGATGAATAGGGGTGGTGACACTCTGTGTTCTTAATCCGTATCCACACACTATAACATCCGAGTACTGTCAAATAGTATGGCCGTCGTAAAGGCTCTGGAGGGCAAAACAATGGCCTCTGATATTATCTTCGAATGCCGTGGATTAAAGGGCAACGACGTCGCAGATGAGTTGGCAAGGAGGGGCTCGGCAACCCCGGCTACCGGCCCAACTATACTCCTGCCACTACCTTTCAACTAACCATTCTTGAGTCTAAATACGGAGTCTAAATACGAAGCTGTATATTTCAATTTTATTGACAGTGAAAAATTGATTAATAAATATTACTTAGAAAGGCGACGTCTTCGCAGATTACTCTACACACTATCAAAATATAATTGTATAAATAATATTTTCAGTAACCATACAAACGCAGTACTCCTACATGTCTTTTACTATCAAACTTATTACATTCCCTATAAAATGCGGTGTATATATTGAAATTCATCACTACTTTTGTATGAATAATCTTAAATATTTTCTGAAATTGATTGTAATCATAACTTCAGTGATAATTTCATGAATTGCACAATGCTTTATATTATAACCTTGCAATCATTTTCCTATAGCCCTCTAAGGGACTGAATCCCATAATGAATGCACTAAAGCTATGCGTTTATTCAAGCCTATTTCATAACAGCTTCGCAAATATAACTGTCTAATCTATAGTATTATTTAACAAAACAGATTATATAGGTACATGGATTAGATATCTGTTATCTACAGTCAATGGTGATAATAATATGCTCTCCGACCATCCATACTCCATACAAACTTGTTATACTAAGGTAGAACACAATCACACATTGAATGTGTGCAAACTTATAAACATGGCAAGACACCTTTGAAGTGTAGTCTACCATAATAGATGTAGATGCATTAAAAATGCACTTAATATAGGCAGAAGACATACATACAGAACTCCAAAATTGTGTCAAATGTATAAGTCAAGAACTGGTGAGCAAGAATCTCTTTGTTATACCTATGTTATGTCACTGTAAACTCTACTGCGTTTACAGTGGTTTACGGCCTTCTGCGAGCTTTTACTTCTTGCCTATATGTAAACATTAGGTACACTTAAAATTGACAAATCTTAGGGCAATTATTGCCGAAGATAATATAGTATGATTTCTCGCCACAAAGTGCGATTGTCTTAGGTCAGATGGTATTTAAAGTCCGTAGTAAAAGGTGAATAGAACAATTTACCTGCTTCGGAACTTTTTAATTTTATTATGGGATAATTTAAAATGTTTTTTTTTTAGATCTCACCTATGATCACACTTACGTTCTAAGTGTTCATAAGTGATTATTATCAAAGATTATGGTTTTGAATATTATGCATAATTTAGACCGTAGTGTTTTATAAAATGGTATTCACAAAATCTGAAGTCACAGCATATAAATGTGGTACATCCATACTTACAACTTAACCGAAACTTAGACAGCATCATACAGTAATTTCCTAAATTATTTTTCCTATCATGGGCTGGTGTCTCCTTCCACATTCTGGTGTCTTTTTGCACATTTTTGCTTTTCACTGAGGCTGTTGTCTGTGTAGTTAGTGGAAGCTTACTATTCCACCCTTGTGATGTTGATATCCGTGCTAACTGTTGCAGAAGTACACTATTCTACAAATTAAAACATTAGTCAATTTACATAGACTAAAGTTACATAACATTCATACTTATTATATTAACTAAAATATTTAGTAGAAGGAGAACCTTCCCTTTTTATAATGTAGTTAAATATTTTAAAGTATGCATAGATATACACATGACATAAATGAGTAAAGCCAGTCAAGAAATAGGATCAATATTGCACACCTTTTTATAAGATTAAAAGCTAATACTGTGAATCATTATTTCAGCAACATACATTGAAAAAACACTGAAGAAAAAAGTTATTCATGTCTACTCCTAAATGTGAGAAAACTTCTTCACAATAGTTGGTTAGCCAAGCATGTGTGTGAAAAGAAAAAGTTGAGTCTGAACTATGAGTAATGTCATTGGTAAAAACCATGTGATTATATTGCTGTCTTTTAGGGTTATCATAGTATGTTCTATATCAGAGTCTCCTGCAGAGGCACTTATTAAATACGATGAGCAGCTCTATTGTAAATTTGTCCTATCCTGTCACATACAAATATTATGCTAAAGTGATTGTCTGTCAACCTTTGGTTACAAAAATGTTAATGTTTTGCATCAGTCCAGTTGCATTATGTAATTATAGTGAATTGATTAGAACTATGGTATTGAAGATAGTCAATAGAAAGTTTACTAACGGTCAAGTCAAGTGTTTCTTGAGTATAATATCTATGAATATCCGAGTTAAAAACGAAATAAAATAAATATTTAATGACATCAAAATAAATATAACTTGCACCACTAAAGTCTTTACAGAGGTGAATACCTACTATAAATTTAGAAAAACCATGAAGATAGGATATATTAAAAATACTTACCGACAAGCCCACCGCACCATGTTTCAAGCAAATTGTACAGTGCATTACTTTACTATGAAACATTTTGTTATTACAGGCCTTATCTCACCATTCTGAAAAGGATATTTAAAAAAAAGAAATTTAAAAAACTGCCTGTGTAGCAATATTTAATCGTGGTATAATTCATGAAATATGTAAAAAATATTATTATACATAAAGTTTGCAGTATTAATTACATACAAAATTGAAAAACAATGAACGACGTTATACAAATCCTGAAGAAACACTTATTGCTACTACGGTGTATAATTTAAATAGATTAAAATACTACTTACGTTTAAATTGTGTAATATATTAATGTTAAATGTTCTAAAATCCACCTGTATAATCAACACCAGAAGCTATTGCGATATAACATGTACAAAAACATTTCAGAGGTTATTCTTCCACTACTGAAATGACACAAGTGACGTAACTTGGCAATCTTGGCATTGGCACGGGCACGTGTTGCCAAGTCTTGAAGTTCGTGTCCCTACCCAGTTTCCCCCTCTAACATTTGCAAAAACCTCCTTTATTTTTCGTTGATTTATACGAAATTAGTAGTTGCATACAAAAAGGCAATTTCAAACTCATTCTTAAATAAAACGCCAAAATCATCTTTCACTTGCTATGTTGGTTGACTTAATTAATGAATGAGATTTTTTTTGAATTAATGAAAATATAAATGGAAGATATATATCTCACAAATTATGGCTTTTTGATTAAAATAAAACAAAGGAGTTAGCCAGTAAGATGAGTTTGTGAACTGTAGTGGGCTGAAATATTATTTGACTTCTTTCTTGTTTGGTAATATTTAAATGTGTGTATGTGAATATTGTTCCAATTTTTTTTATGAAATAAACTTTATTAATAAATAGTAACCGCTAAGTGAAATGTTACGTTTATTTGTGTTTCAAATTACGTCACAATTAATCAAAGAAAATATTTTAAATAGTTCTAAATATAATCTTTCTGTTTATGTGCTCTTTTCGAGACGCTTTTTGTCCCGCACAACCAATATTTGGAACGGGTTATCGTCTGCGGTATTTCCGGATCGATACGACCTTCAAACTTTCAACAAAAGAGCGTATTCCTTCCTAAAAGGCCGACAACGCGTTTGTGACTCTTGAGCTGCAGACGTTCATGCTCGGCGATGGCGTCTGCTCATCTGCCCCCTCTTACATAAAAAAAAACTTTCAAATACCTTTCACGAAATCACTCACTCAGGTTGCAGGAAAACAAAAGGAATTATACATCAAAACAAATGATAGAAAAACTTGTGTGGTTTCATATATCATGATGAGCAGATTACCTGAAAGAGGGTAGAGAGGAACGACTGTGTCACCTACCGATGCACTCAGATGCTCACCGGGCACGGTGGCTTCGGTGAGTATCTGAATCGAATCGGACGGGAGGTCACGGCACAATCCCACCACTGTGGGTCCGACATTGACCCGAGGCCGTGCGTCGAGTCCTGGTCGGACAGATTGGACGAAACTTGTCACCACCAGCGTTGAAGGAGGCAGCAAAGGGGAAGCGGCAGAGGTCGCTAGCTAGAGGTCTTGGGGTGATGTGGCCGCTGCAAGCGACCCAAGACGGTTGACACTACGGGGTCTGTCATCTAAGGCCGGGCGCTGTTGCGACTCTTACTGTGTAGAGCGGTGAGGGTCCCAGGGTGACCATGATTACCCTAGGGCGGTGATCCCGGCCTGAGGTGATCATAGTTAGTTTCTCCCTACCGAGGTAGGCCGCCGCGGGGTTCAGTGGATGGACCGGTTCTCCGGGAGTCCCACACACGTTCTCCGTTTCCAAAACGCATGGTGCAAAAAGCATTTCCCGAGTTAAAAAAAAAAGAAAAAGATTACCTGAATGGATATACTTAACTATAGATGTAAGGCCGATTTAAAACCAATTAAACCAATCCGTTTAAAATGAAAAAACCGTTTAACACTAAAATAAACCATTTTTTTTCGAATTAATAATGGTTGTTGTTGATGACTATGTTTTTCTTAATTATAACTACATTTTCTTTAATTTACTGAGGTAGGGATATGACGGAGTACCTATAAACTGTGTAAAGATTTTTTTATATGTGTAATATACTGAAATTTGATTCCTTAGAGGGTTTAGTGCCAGTTGGTTTAACCGACCAACCATACCTAAGTTATAAAAACTCTATTGTTAAGTTAAAAACTCTGTGTTGGTAAATTAACATTTTTTCATTGTTTTCAAACGATATGAATAATCAATTTGATTTGGTTTAAAACCAAACTTACACTCTGGCACTCTTGTTGACGTCGTCACTCGCGACGGCCTTAAACTCATAACGTTGTCTCTTTCATGCGCAAGTAAAACGGACGACATTGTGTTAATGATGTCTTCTAATCTAGTGTGTAAATATAATATAATAAATAAGTATAGGTAGGTAGGTATACCTATATAACTACTTAAGTTTTCGTGTAGTAGGTAATGTAGGTAGGTACTTTCTAGTGATTTTCTAAAAACTAATTAAAACGAAACATAACATCAGGTGACCAAAAATTGCAAAATGGGCAACAATACCTGGGCAAAAATTTTATTTTTGTAGGTGAGTTTTCAACCGTTTAAAACGGTTTATTTGGAGTGTAAAACGGCAACATTTTATATAAAACGCTTTAAATCGGTTGTTTTACATCTATATACTTGACGAAAGAGGGCAAAAATAATTTCATGAAATAAATTGCAGTCAAAATACTGCTGAACATATATATGCATCAAATAGATCAGAATACCGATTCTGATTGATTTGGACCATCTGCCTGACCAATATTGTACCTAAAATGCCAATTTAAATGGTCCAATGTTATCAGATGATTTTACAACATTATAATGCTAAATTAAGTATTCTTGTAAAGGTATTTTAAAAGTGGCAATAAAGAGCTTGAAACAGTATTACCACGCTTGATGTACCCGTCTTTTAGGGAGTATTTTACGGAAAATCTGATTATATACTGCAAAGTATTAATAAATATTTCTTCGAGATAATATTTTTTTTTCAAATTACATTTATAAATAACTGCCACAAGACTCTGATATTAGTAATACTTTAGTGACTAGAAAATAAAATTTTGTTTTATTTTTGGTAGTAAATTTCTTTTTATTTTCGGGAAATTTTAACGTCAACACTAAAGCACAATTTTTTTGTTTTTATTTTGATTCGATTGATATTCGAACGCGGAAGTGATTTCGTGTATTGACGCTCGCATTGCGAAACATGTCGAATTGTTATTTTAGAACTTTGTAAAAATGTCCAAATTATGGTGAATTACTTGTCAGTCCCGTAGCAAGAAAAGCAATCCCAAAATATGGCCTCGCGAGGAGACAAAGGAAATGGAAATGGCGAAGAGCAGATCGTAGAGGTAAATCGATGTGGCCTACATTATTTGACAGTTATGCTGAGTTGATCAGAGTTTTGAATGGAAGTATGCTTGCAGACATTAGCAGAGGTGTTTCGTTGCTTCATCTGCATGGAGAAACTGGTCGATGCTCATCTCTGCCCACACTGCTCGAAGTTGTGTTGCTATGCCTGCGTGCGAAGATGGTTGACAGAGCAGAGGTCGCAGTGCCCGCACTGTCGTGCTGCCTTACACCTTCATGAACTCGTCAACTGTCGCTGGGTCGAGGAGGTCACCCAACAGATTGAGACCATGCAACAGAGCAACTCTGCCAGTCAGAGAGAGAGTTTCAGAGATAGGTGATTAGCAGATACATATTCATTAGTAAATTAGCACTTAATCAATCTAATGAATCTCCAGTATTAGGTGGTTATCAGTACATTAGAAAGTGATCATTAAAGCTATGAATTTTTAATTAAATATGAATTATATAATTTATATTTCACACAGACAATTTAGTATGTTTTGTGTGGTCTAAAAGAATATAATAGTTTAAAAAATAATAATAAAACACATTTTGAATAAAAAAATAATTCAGAATGTTTTTTATTCCACTAAATAAGAATATTAAATAGAAACATCTCATCATCACATCTTACTTTAGGGGAGTATGTAAAATCTTGCATTATATTCATAATTCTGCAGTTTCATTAGTTATTAAAAATGTAACTGAAAAGGACCATTGAACCCTTAGTTTATTATCAAATACACTTAATGGATTCTAATTGGATTATCAAACTAATTGGATGGTGCAAACCTTTTGCATAGCATAGGCGCAAGCCATCTGCCAGTCTGAACTTGATGCCTGATAATGAGATCCTTATGTAAGTAAAAACTAAGTTTTTTACTTATTTATACTTTATGCACAAATGTGACAAAACGGCGGACTTAATGCCATAGGCATTTTCTCCCTTGTGGCGATGCAGAGCTTAAAAATGGTAAATACATAGAATTAAAAAATGAGATTTTATGAAAAATAAAGCATTAATAGAATATCATATATATAGTTTTAATTTACATAAGGATCTTACTTACCTAAAACTTTTACTACAAAACAATGGTCTTTTTGTGTTACCAGTACCTAGATTATTACAACTGAAAATGATGAAAGACACAATTAGACCTACTTATCCAAAACGGAAACATACCAGACACTATATGTTTTGAGAAAAAGCTATTTCATATTTGCTTTTATAGAAAATACTTTCTTCTATATATAGAGTGTAAGGGACATTGTAGCGGAGTCGAAAATCATTGAAAGTTTTTGGCGGAAAATTAGACTATACAATCAGTTAAATCAGTCAGGTAGTCAATCAGTCAGTACAATCAGTCAAAGGTTCATGTCATTCCCGTAGGTATCGCACAAAAATTTGTATTTCGTAATCAGGTATAGCCATTTAAGTCATTTAATTTAGCTTCAGGGATAGGTTTTCCTGCTGGTCAAAGAGGCTCCATTAAGTGATTTCTTAAAACATATTGCCCTCCACAAACATTTTTTTATATCATCTGCCATAACATCTTTATTCAAATTTCTTTTCATATAAATCTTGAACATTTCATCCTTTTTATCATGATTTCTTTAGTATTGAGCCATGGAAATATCTCTGTCTGTTGTTGTCTTCCTTTTAATAATATGGTTCTCTGACTTCAGCAATACCAAGAAATCTTTATTTTTCATCCTATGTATACATGCATTGGATTTTGCTTCTTACAAGTTTCCATAACCACGAATGTAATCATCCGGTGTATAGAGCCTTCGTTGACGGTTTAGAGTACGTCAATATTCGCGAAGTTTGAAGCGTTTAAGAGAAAGGTTTGCCCCGCTTCAAGGAACCTAGTATTGTTTTAAACATTTATGAAGTTTATATTGAAGTTCTGACCACCACACTAATCGCACCATAAAATAAAATGTCTTTGCTTGCTTCATATCTTTTAATAATGCTTTGTCTAGTCCCAAAAACTTATCTCCTATTTTTTCTCAGCAATAGTTTAATACATTATGTCGGCAACCATAAACAAAACTTATGGTTCTGTTTGAAGTCTAAAGTTTAAAAAATACAAGATACCATGTGGAGTGGTTCCTTATAAAAAAAGAAAAATTCATTAATTTTTAGATGGTCCAGTTACCATGGCACATGGATCTTGTAAGTTTATTGAACTATTAGTTTAATGTTGGTTATTAAACTTGTCATGAAAATCTTTAGTTCTGTCAAAATTGTCAAATTATTTTGAATCTTACAGGGTTGATAGAGAGTTCATTTTGAAAGGTTTCTCCACATTTACCTTGATTTTGACATGTGTGTGGATTGGTTCCTCTTCGCATAAGTAGGTCTAATTTTTGTTTCATTTTGTTTCTTTTCTCCAATAATTTGATAGTAAAAAGATGTTTAAAATTAGATTGAATGTTTTTTGTGCTACTATTACAAGTCTTAAAAATCCATAATGAAGAATGTTGTATCAAATCATGTAAATAATTATAACTTCTAGTAATTCACAGGCTAGACTCACTAAACAAACTGCCTGGAATTATTTTACAATGCACAGGGATATATTAAATACACAGAAAGCCTCCGCCAATACAGGTGTCCAACCCATCAAGAGAAGTTGACTGTCTACTGTTGGACTTGTCGTCGGTGCATTTGCCACCAATGTGCTCTGTGGGGCGGCACCCACTCTGGACACACCTTCAAGCCACTGGAAGAAGTGTATGAACAACACGTAACCCAGATACGCGATGAAGTGTCTCAGCTGAGACGTAGACTAATGGAGTTGATCAGTCTGGTGCAGGATGTGGTAAGCATATTCTTTAGTAAATAATTTTCTTGTAGTTAAATAGTTAGCGGTATCGTTTTCTCTAAAATGTCGAATAACTGTATAGTTGGAGTAAACAGTGGAAGACTTTAGTACGCGAATCATCTAGAAACGCCTCTACTAAGAGATATGCTCACTAAGTAGATGCAAATTGGGGAAAAAAAAAGTGTAATAATAATATTTTTCACACATTTCACACACGGTCGTCTGATCCCAAACTAGGCAGAGCCTGTACTATGGTAACCAGACTGCTGATAAATATACTTATATATTCTAAATACATACATATTATAGATAAAGTACACCCAGACACAAAACAAAATTACCGTGCTCATGACACAAATATTTTTCCTGCGTGGCAATCGAACCCACGACCTCTGGCGTTCACATATATAGTTTAAAGTCTAGATATTATATAATTAGTCACTTTCTTCAATGTTCTTGTATTGTATGTAATTTCAAATGTACTATAGTTTTAAGAGTTTATAAACAAGATAAATGTACACAAGTACATAATTTAAAAGTGCTTACTATATTTTTTAGGAACGTAATGTAGAATCAGTCCGTGCTGCTAAAGACGAGCGTGTGCGCGAAATTAGAAACGCAGTCGAGTTAATGATATCACGCCTTGACTCTGCTCTAAAAGCTAAGCTGCTCACACTTATGGGGCAGAAGAACAGCCTCACGCAAGAGACCGAGCAGCTGGAACATCTTTTGCAAGAGATTGAACATCAATTGCATTCGAGTACAAGGTTAGAGAGTTATTCGTTTTTTAACAACATCTACAGTAAGGGAAATTCATACACCAGAAGAAAGTGGATGGTAACCGATGATTGCACGGCGTAAACTATTAAAGACCCGTTTATAGGAATTACGTTCGTTCTTTGGGAAGCTTATCTCTGATTACTTCTTCTATGGTACTTAATACAATTAAAAAATACATTAGTTTAGCTTAACAGTTCCATTTCTAAAACTACTCCAAACTCATTGGTATGTGGTTCAGATGGCATGAGCATTTATGCATATACTTAACATTGTTACAGATCTGAACTTATAGCCAAAAGCAGTGAAATATCGAAGATGATTCATCAAGTACGCAAGAAGCCTATGGCCAGTTTCGTGACTGCGCCAGTACCGGCCGATTTCCACAGGCAAGTCTCTGTGCCAAAGTTTGTAACTTTTCTGTGTTTTGTTCTGTTTTTATTAATTAATACAGCATCTGCATGAAGTTGCTTCGTAACTATAAGATTCGCTTATTTTTAAGTAAGTTAAGTAACTGAGGTTGTAGTAGCAGTATCAGTATTCTTTCCTACTTCTGGTATGTAAGTGTTGAGTTTAACCCTCTAATTTTAATTGCAAGTCTGAAATCTTTAGAATTTTGTATAACATAAGAATTTTTACAGTAACTCGCTTCCTAACATGCTAAGGATACTTTGACTGGCGTGTTTTTTTTTCAATGCTAACTTTATTTTAGGAATAGTACCTACATTACATTGACTAAATATGTACTGGATTGGTTGCAAAAATAATCATTGGTACAATTGAGTGGTTTGAATAGCGACTCGATAAAACCAAACTATTTCTCGGCTCCGAAAGTAAACTTCCTTCTTTCTAAAACTTAATGAAAGTTATTTGTTATTTACAAACAAGCTTTTGTCTGCGACTCCGCCCGCGTATATTTCGGTTATCGCGGTAAAAAGTAGTCTATGGTACTCGCTGATCATGTAGCTTGCCATTGGTCCATTTTCAAAGAATTTTTAAAATCTGTTTAGTGGTTCAGGCTTGAAAGCGTAACAAAGAAACCTAACTCAATTTCACATTTATAATATAAGCATTGAAGTAAGCATGGAAGTACGGGAGTATGGATTAACATATAAATTTGAGCAACTTTAGTATTACACAAAAATTCTGTCAACAAATCGACAGACGACAGTCACAGACAGATTCCAAGAAATTGCGAAGCTCTTAAAAGGTCTGGATGCTGTTCAGCTCAGAACAGCTACTTAACAGCTCTTCGAATTAGTAGATCCTTCACCATTCTATCATCGGCCTACTAGAAGTTTTCTTTAATTTTTGACACTAAAAAGTCTAACCAAACGCTTTGACTCCTCCTTTTCTTTGGAACATTCAAGGTTATGGTTAATAGCTTTCTATCATAGCATACCGTACATGATATACCTATAACAAACTTCACAATCCTGCAGTGATCTATAACTTTTTGTAGCCTGTTCAAATTATAGCCAGCTAAAATATAGGCCAGCGATATATATAGCAAAAGATTAAACTGAAGATAAAACTATATGAATAAGGGTTAAAATTCTACAATAAGGCGATTTATAGTATTTATTAATCGGTACGTTCATTGCTACGTTTACCCGCAGCGAAATTGTCCCGAGCTACGACAGCAGCACGTTTCCACTCACGAATTTTACGCAACTGCAACATGCGGCCGCGCCGGTCTACTCAGCGCCTCTGCATGTCAACGGTCTGTGTTGGCGTCTCAAAGTATACCCGGATGGCAATGGAGTAGTCAGGGGCAACTACTTGTCCGTCTTCTTGGAGTTAAGTGCCGGCCTCCCTGAGACCTCCAAGTAAGTTTAACATTATTAGTAATTATATCAGAAAGACTTAGCAGAGGCTAATTTGACACAAATAGTTCACAATTTGGTTTCTAGTTAATTTTAAATGGAAGAAGCCATACTTCTAACAATAGTTTAAAAATAGAAAATACAGAAAAATACTTAACCGGTATGGGATATCAAAAAAAAAATGTAAGCTGCATATTATTTTATTAAGAGGGTAGTATTAAATCAAGTCTATTCTTTAATTAAAAGATGAAAGACGCTTTGTTTTTTAAGAGACAAAACGATTTCTTTTTCATTTGTGAAACATGCTTAATAATAAAGGTTTACCATATGGGAAAACTAGAAAAGAATTAATTATTTAAATGAATAAAATAATTAGGTATATCACTATTATTCCAAAGTAATATTAAAGATTCAGGCCCCTTACATTTTTAGAAAACGACTACGCAACACGATGTATATTACCTTGGTGTCTATATTCAGCATTCTATATAATATTGTCTTGTCATTTTAGCCCATGCTGTTGGCAGTACGTAGTGTAATAAATTTGCTATAATAATATATGCACTAACACATTATTATAATTATTATTGCAGTAGTCGTAGGAGGAACACTAACAAATTTAACCCTTAAATTTATAATATTGCAAATATCACAACTCTTTAAGAACATGCAATTCCTTAGTATACTAATAATAATTACTTTGTATTTCACGATCCCTTTTATTTATACCAATAATATGTGTAACTAGTGAATAACGTCAGTATTTCGTTATTGCAAGCACTGCTAAGTTAAGAGTAGGCAAGAGGTAAGTTCTGGCGATGAGGGTGTTGCTCAGTAGCCGTAACGTCGCCGTCCATGTGCTAGCATGATCGTACGACTCAAACATACCTAAGGTTGTGCCATGAAAACTGAAAACTATATCAGTAAATCAGCCGTTTGAATATTTTCTTCGGATTTATATTAGAGCAGCTATTCCCCACACAGTTTATTCAGTGTCTAAAGCCTTGTATGACCCTCAAGGCTTTAGTTTACTCTGACTAGTAGTTTATGAGATTATTTTTAATAAAAAAGATATAATTTCTAGTTTCTGCTGGCCAGCCTTTAGCTATATTTCATTGTCAAATAATATGATTCAGTATGCGAAAACGAAATGTCCATTTACAGGTAAAATGCTTTGGTTCGACCTAAACTGTGGCTACAGAATCACATTTATCGGGGTCGCTGTCTTTTTACACAAGACTTATTAGTTTTTTAATGGTCATCAAACATGCTGAATTGTGTCTTTTGGCAGCTGAAAGTGGCTAGTCTGATTGAGGTTAATACGTCACAAGTTTAATGTGCGCTGGAACAATATGGCCGCTGACTTGATAAGTGATAATTTAAAAAAAAAAGTTTAAACCGCTTTGAATATTGCTCAAAGTATTGTATTATCATTTTACATATTTATCCTTTATTGTTTTCAATAGCTATTGTATCTTAAGAGAATTCCGTGCTGGTGAATTAGCTTTACAGTAAATGTTATAATTAATACATGCAATAACTAAACATACCACGTTATAATTATTGTTATGTGGTATGTTTTGTTACTGCATCAAGCATTTCATGTTTCCTCGATGTTTCGGTTATAATATATCCCTAATACCCTGGATAATGACGTACTTATTGCCCTATTATGTAAATTTGAAACGCTCAAATATTTTACACACATATTGTGTACCATTAAGAAAAAAAAATATGTATTAGATCAGTACAAAACTCGTCAAAACACAGTCAGACTTAATTTATAAAAGTTGTCGTAGGGTTCTGATTTGACAAATTTCATCTATTACCACTCCTATAGGTAGGTACCTAACTGCGTTCAACGTCACTGTTGCTGGTGTCGTGGCAGAAAGGACCTTTGCTTTGCTTTAAATTAGTTTGTAATTATTTTTGAATCTGATTTTCTGAATATAAATTATCACTTATCAATTGCATATGTACCATGTACTATTTTCCATGTCCTAGCTAGCTTATCATTGTATCAAAACCATTTCTAGCCAGCTAAACTCATCTGTACTAACAAAATCGTGTAGTCTGTGTTTGTTCTTATAAACTGTTAATGAAAATCGTTTTACTGAATTAGAGGGGTAACACAATGCTACCACGTAATATATCTAGATAATTATAATGTTTACAATAAGGTTGAAATTATGCTGAAGGATGGTATGATGCTTAAAAGTAATCAACATTATGCATCTGAACTCATCGTATGTGTGAGTCAACAAAATCATAATAGAAAGTCAAAAATTTCAACCTCTAATAATGAATATTGTCTCAAATAAAGTACAATTGTAGTGTGTTTGTTATACGGACGCGTTTTTGTTTCAATGTTGATGACAAAATCTAAGCGGTATATAGTGATGATAAAATCGATTTAAAAATATCAACTGACTTTTAGACGGAAAAAGAAAACTTTTACTTTTAAATTTTTCATTTATCATCGTTAAGGTAAATAGGGTCGGTTGTCTGTTACGATTATGAAAATAACGTTTTAATTGTGTCAATCTTTACGAAGACACGGTCAGGTCATGCATTATTATTATTATGCATTGCTGGTGTGCCCAACTCCAATATCAGGAGGAAGGAGATCCATTTTTCAGTAGTGGATGTAATAGAAAGTTGATCTTTTTAAAAGTACACTTGATTTCTGCAGACTTAAAATTTAGAAACATTTTATTTCCGTGCTTCGTTCTTAATATGTTAAATTAAGTACGGGATAACTTCCTTGAGAAGTGCTCCTTAATTAATCTAACTTTAGGGTATCTCTCGTAGAATTCCATTAGGGAATTAAAGACTTCGCTTGATAGTATCGCTAGTACTTTATATGTAAATAGTTGCTAATTACTTGTGTGCTCATCTGATTGCTTTGTTAGAGTTTCCTTGAATTCATCCCTATTGCGAAATGTTGCATTTTCCAATTTAATGATGAGGTGAGCACACAAGATCTTAAAATTTACATGATAAATATTTGTGATTATATCTTTTCAAAAGTAAATTATTATTATTATTTAACCTAGATTCATAAAAATATAATGTACTTATCATGAAATTGGCTTACATGAGCATATCGAGCTTGGAGTTGCAGTTGCATCTTAACAAAAATGATCAGTGGTGTGCTGTTGGTTGAAGCGTCCCTTGATCTCAGATACGAGTATCGCGTGGAGATGCTGCACCAGGTGTCCCGTGATCCCTCTAAGAACATAGTACGTGAGTTTTGCCTCCGACTTTGAAGTAGGCGAATGCTGGGGCTACAACCGCTTCTTCAGACTTGACCTGCTCGCCAGCGAAGGCTATCTGGACCCGGAGACGGACACACTCATTCTGAGGTAATACTTTTCGTACCACTGTAATGTAAGTTTCACATTGGCTAAATGTCCGAAATCTATAAGGTAGTGTTCAGCGTTATTTGTGACAGTTTATTTTTTGTTCTATATATATTTCAATTGTTGTTTTATATGTATGTTAATGCCCGTTGAAACCGTTATATCATTATAAACAATTTTTTTTAGGTTTTTTAGGAGACGGTAAATTTATTGATCTTGGCATTAAAAAGTGTAGCTTTTGTACGAATGTAAAGTGAAGTCATAAAAGTTATTCGTTTTTCTGTTGTGATATTACGCGATTTTACTAAACTAATTTATACCCATACTATTTGTAAAATGAGACTATTTACGTAGTAGTTTAGATACTTCGCTAAAATAATATTTTTGCCGACCGATAAATTTAGTCGAATATAAAATTTGCGAATAATGATTTGTAATATTTTGTAATTGCAAGGTTCCAAGTCCGTCCACCAACGTTCTATCAACGGTGTCGCGATCAACAATGGTACATCAATCAACTGATAACGATGCAAAATCAACATATTTTGCAGATCAATGACCTTAAAGAGGTATTTATCACATTATTTTTGCTTTCAAATATTTCAATTCTAGTTCTATATTGTGATTGTATGAGGTATACACCTAATACCTAATAACAAAAGTACCATATTATCTTTTTTTTATAAGAAGTAGTGTAGCTTGACAAAACAGTAAAAGCCTTAGCCTTGACATTGATTTTGGGACTTGACCAGACCATTACGACGGTTCCGGCACAGACAGATATTATTTATTTGAGACTGTTGTCCTTTCTCTCTCTGTACCCCCTCCCTCACTCTCTCTCTCTCCCTCACTCCCTCCCTCCCTCCCCTCCCCCACCCCTCCCTCTCCTTCCGTCCCTCTCCTTCGCTGGCTTTCAAGTAATCTAGGATTCGTAAAATAAATTATTTAATTTAGTAATAAACTTTAGGCATAAGTTTAATAAATGTTTATTTCCACAGCGTTTATCTCTAGAAATGTCTCGCAACTCGATCGCCGCGACTCGCGCTCAGAACGGCTCTAACACGTCCCAGTCGAACGCCAGCAGTGACGTCGCGGACAACCCGGCGCAAAACAATCCCGTCGACGGTAACAGCCTGAGCGATTCCATCGTGTTCGGCAACCAGTGGAAGTTCAACGGGCCACATAACATCATGAGCGGACAGAGGCTCACTAGTCCAGGTCAGACATACTATCGAGGACCTTTTTGATTTTTATATTTTTATTGTTAATATTTATACTGTGTGCGTACGACACTGGATCGTGCTTAGCCCGTTTCTAAACTTTGTAATATCTCAGTCAGATTCTTAACAGACAAAAATATCAGTAGTATATGACTGATCACTGTGACAGGTATCTTAAACACCGCTATGTTCGTGGAAGAGTCTCGCAACAACGACGTATCGAGTGTTGGCGTTTTCGGGTACGGCGACTACCCGCCGCTCGACCGGCGCGTCGCCGCACACGCGCCGCACGCTACACACGCGCTAGACGCGGGCTACAACCTGCCCTCTACATCACGGTAAGTGTTTCCAAGGTATTTCCTATCGAATAATTCTAATCTAAATCTCATCATCATCATCATCATCATCAACAGCCTTTAATAGTCCACTGCTGGACATAAGCCTCTCCTTAGAAAGGAGGTTTTGGACTACTATACCACGCTGGCCAGACGGGTTGGTATAGGGTTCGTATCAAGTTTTCCTTCTCTCTGCAGTGCTGTTGTTCTGCGTAGTTTTTTCCCTTAGTCGGCTCTTACGACACCCACGGGATGAATAGGGGTGGTGACACTCTGTATTCTTAATACGTCACCACACGGACCAATCTAAATCTATAAATGGGGAATGCTCACTGCCATAGACACTTCGGCCCTGGGTGCACACATATACCTAAATGGCTTTTTCATCTTTCACGAGATTCTCGTTATGAGGAACGGCAATATCAACAATCATTAAGCGGCGCTCTAATCGATCTATCACTACAATGTCAGGCTTATTGGGCACAATAGTCCTGTCTGTGATAATAGATCGATCCCAATACAACGTGACCCGACCATTCTCGAGAACTGGGTCGGGCACATACCTGTAGTATGGCACCTCTAGATTTACAAGTTGGTATTTAAGGGCAAGCTGTTGGTGTACGATCCTGGCTACTTGGTTGTACCTGTGCAAATATTCACCGTTAGCGAGACGAGAACAACCAGACATAATAGGTCTGATTGATTCCCCAGGATGGTGGCATGCCCGACAGATATCAACCGTACCATCTTTCAGGATATATTTCCGATAGTTATTCGTCATTATAACTTCGTCCATAATTGCACAAATATAACCTTCAGTTTCACCATACCGTTAGCCAAGTCGTAGATGGTTTTAAATCTATGATTATTATTTACCTGCTGTAGTCAATGCTATTGTTGTATAAGATTTCGAACTTCTGTAATTTCCAACAAATGTCTTCGCATTTCCGTGACATTTAAACCATAATATTGACACAGCGTAAATGTCCTCTTGAATGAGTTACTGTCGGCTGTGAAGAACTCTGGCCGGTGTAAAAGCTGGGGTCACCATTAGCAATGGATATCGAGTCCAAGTTCGTGAGAAGCGGGAGCGGGATCCATGTTCAGGCCATGGTCAGTAGGGTAAGAAGAATAGTCGGAGTCCGTTTAGAAAGCTTATTAGTTTCAATAATAAATTCGCAAGAAAACGAACAAATAATACAAACGAATTTGTGACTACACGTGACGTGACAGATAGGGTTCTACTTCTAGTTGTTTTAATACATTCGATGTTGTCACTTAACAGACATAAAAGCGATAATCGATATCGATTGTTTATTCAAAATAATTTAATATAAAATAATAATTTTCGAGGCGCCTTTAAACTCTGTACGCCTTTAAGAATCTATTTCCTATTAGTTTTTTAATTATATCTAATGTATTTTACTACATCTTTAAAGTATTTTAAGAACAGATAATTGTAACATCATAATAATTAACGAAAGAACCAATAATATTAGAAATAAAATAATGACATCATAATAATTAACGAAAAACACCATATACTCGTATAATCCATTGAGAAATAAGAAACAATTATTTTTTGAACGAAATAACTAGTTTTTCAATTACTAATTGTAATTGGAAACCTTGTTATTTTATCCACAAATGAATGAATTACGGATTAACGTAATTCTGCAAAAATGTGGCAAACCTGTTTAGAGAAATTAATACCGCCATTAATAGACATAAAATAAGATCGTTTTTTTTTTTATAAAAGCAAATTGTTGCGCGTTTCATGGCCAAAAAAGGGCATGTCCCTTTATTACATCATTAACAAAATGTCCGTATCGCTGTACGCTCCAAGGATCGACTCAAGCCGAGCTATATCAAGTTAAAGGTCCTCAATTAACGATATTTCACGTTTAAAACAGTGCATTTTCGGTCACCATTCCGTTAGGTTGTACTTACACCCTCTATCCATACCATTTTAGATAGTTAAATTAATATAGACTGGTTTAGCTTAACTCCGTCGTTTATTTTCTCTGTACGGTAATCATAACACGTACATCGTGGTCCTTCGAGCCCGATAAGAATACGAATTGGAAAGTGTTGAAAACTATAATATTTTAATTTTATTTGCTTGCGTTGATTTTGTCAAGGAAGTAAATTTTCATGTACTTTTGAGATTTGCAGTCTGTACTAAGTGTATAAGCTAAAAGTATTCACTATCGAAATATAGTACAAGATTATTTTCAGTATAGTGTATGAATAGTGATTTGGAATAATGTTTTGTTGCCTCAGTTCTGCAAATTCCCTACACGTAACGGGCGCGGACAATATGGCTCTAGTTAGCCTTCACACACTGCTGAGCGCTGCTAACGCGCCCAGCCGCGTGCCGAGCAAGCTCGCCAACAAACAGCCACGCCCCGACAAACAACACGTACCTGCCAAGGAGTCCGCATTGGCCGGTAAGTTATATAATTTATTATGCCTTTACCAGATCTGCTAATTGGTTTAGAATTTACTGCAAAGCAGTGCCTATCTTACTCTAAATTTGTCCATAGAGCTTGCTTCTGTTATTCTCTTCTCAAAGTGTTTGTCAGTTATGATCGGTTGTGATAGTAATAGACCTGAATACTGAAAAGTATTGGGGGCCATCCATAAATTACGTCACACGAATTTCATGTTTTTTTTCGACCTCCACTTCGTCCTTGTCACAGCTGGTCACATTTTTGAGCCCCCCCCCCCCCAAAGTGTGACATCACATATTTTGCTCTAGAAATTACGAAATTAAAATTGCAGTTCCAAATTTAGAATTATTACTATTTAAGTTATTGTTAATAAAGTCAACATCAAATCAAACTATTGAAATTTTTTACAAAATGGTTAATTGTACTGTCAATAATTCAAAATTCGCATTTTAATATCTAGATATATTAGGTTTTGAAATGTGACGTCACAAAACTTAGGACTCCCCTTGTCACACTTCGCCGACCCCCCCCCCCCCCTTATCGTGTGACGTAATATATGGATGGCCCCTTAGGTTTATAGACACTTATTCTCGTATAATATTTACATCACTTACATAAAAACATAGCTATTACAAAAAACATGTAAAATATGTATGTATTATGCAGTTATAAGCATTGTATCAACGCTACCGTTCCTAATTGTGCGACCGATATCATTAAAAAAGTAGCTTTTCGTAAAGACAAATACTATTCCATTGAAGATGATGGCAGTGTAGAGATGTTAGGTTGGTATGGTCGCAGCTGTATCAAGCACCCCGGTGACGGAGGTGGGCGGGTGCGCGGCGAGCGTGGTGCTGTGCTCGTCGATGTCGTCGCCGGAGCTGAACGGCGGCGCCAAGCACGAGGCGGGCGGCGACCAGCCCGCGCACCAGCTGCACGCCGCCTCCGAGTCCAGCAGCGACACTGGCGTTAGTAATCACTACACATTTTGGCCCTTCTTTACTTAAAATATTTATTCTGTGATAGCGAATTAGTTAAATGACATGACCTATGTCAAAATAAATCTAGGTATCTTTCCTATTTTTTTTATAAATTTCGTAAGTGAACCTAAAGTGTAGTTGAAGATAGGCTGAAAACAATAAATTTACCTATTATTATTGTGGACTTCAGGACCTAATGTTCAGCGAGCTGGAAGTCTTTGCGGATGAGAACAACCCTAGTCACGTGGACGAGAATTCAAATGAAGAGAATGATGTTGATGATGAAACCATGTCAGGTAATATATTATGACTTGTCTACCAATTTATTATAAAGAAACTTTAATCAGTGATATCCATAGAAATTAAAGAAATACGATACTTGTGTATTTCGAGGATGTCCCCTTTCTATCTGATTACCGGGGCCCTTTATCAAGTGTTGACACGTTCTGCCTCGTCGTTCTCAAACGCCACGCATTGGTTGGCGTCATTGTCACCGGATATTTTTGTTTTGGGAACGTGCCAATGTTGATAACTGATTGAAACTTAATAACACAAGTGTACGTATCCTAAACCATTGAAATTATGGTTACAATAATATTCAAAATTAGAAATAGGGGCATTTATGCTTTTAGTATTTTCATTAGTTTCGCCTCTTAATCAAAAGGGAGATCCATTTATCGAAGACCCGTTGTCCGTTTGAATGTTTAGTTATAGAAGGCAATGGGACTGTGATCAATAGTCTCTCTTGTGATACCCTTAAAAAGATATAGCGGAGCAGCTTTAATGGTCGGCTCATATTGGCGGCGAGAGTCCCTCTTCACTTAATGTCCATGAAAGTCCTCGTCACGAAAACTTACACTACTGCCACGTCATATGGGCTTTTCACGACCTTTTACCGTGAAAAGTACGTTAACCCTGTTTTTCTTTATTGACAATTTGAAATTTCTGTCGACCTTAGGTAAAGTATTGCATTTTCTTCAGAATAAAAAGAATAACGCGCTCTTTAAAAAAAATGAATCTGGATCTCTAAAACACGCACTTAAAAAAATGAAACTGTGCTCTCGATTGTAAGTTAGATCAAATCAAACCTTTTAGACCATGAAAATTTAGAATTCCGGACGGTATAAGAGTTCTGACTGTCGTTTAGCCACTGAGACTCTTCTTCGCCAAATCGTGTAGAGTACTATAACCCGGCAATCTCGTGCACGACCGTCCCGCGGGGTGACAGACAGTGGGGGGGCGAGGTAGCGCGTCATTCTAGCACACGAAGAGAAGTGTGCCAGGATAAATCTTGCGATAAGTTGTACTTACTTGTGACGTAATATAGGAGTAAATAAAAAGATAGAACTACTTTTATTGTTTATATTTTTTTTATTATGCTTGAGGACAAATTATTAGGAAACCTAAAATTATGATAGATTGTTGTATTATAATTCAATTTCCATATCACTTTCATGTTCACTCTCTGTTTGATCTTCTTCATCACTTTCGTCGTCATCATCATCGTCGTTTTCATTCAGTTGAATTATGAATCTAAAAAGATAAAAATGTACTATAGAAATAACAATCAACTTCACATACAATGACTTGGTTCCGAGAATTATAGCTTGAGCACTCTGCCCAGTTAAAGCAATAATAATAGATTATGTTAATAAACAATAACGTACCTGTCTATTTCATCGTCACATACTCTTCTACGTTCTAATATTCGTCCTCGTTTTTTATGACGTGATTATCACAATTGCGCCACTGTTCAACCGAATAATTGGAAAAAAGCAAGCAAGTTCGAATCAATGGAAGTCCTTGCGAGCTCGCCTTTTACGTACCCCCACACGAGTTCAATTGGATTTAAATCCGGATGGGGGTAAGCGAAGCACGATATGTCCATTTTCCTTTAATATTTCATCAATTTTGTACTGTTTTGCCGTGTTTTGTTCATTAATTATTTTCATTAGATCACATTTACGCATAGCGCTATCATACTGAATTCAACACCTCGCCGTTCTAACCACTGCTGCATTTCGCTTTTCAGGGTACTCTTTATAGGTTTTTTTTATCGATCTGAGTGCTATGGTAAGCGGCGTTGTCCATTACAATAACAGAATTCGGAGGAATGTTTGGTAACAGTTTTTTTTTATTTTTTTTATTAAATTTGTGGCATTCATGTCTCCATGATAATCACCGGTCTTGGAATGGGATTTGAACATCAATAAAGCATTAGGTACAAAGCCATTGCGACTGCCAGCGTGTACAATTACAATACGAGGTCCTTTACCGATGTTTTGCATAGCCCCGCGTTCTGTATCAGACTGCCAGCATTTTTGTGTCACGTGATTTTTATTCACGTAGGTTTCATCCAAGAAAATTAAGTCAATACTTACCGTCTCGGCGGTATTTTTTACTGTCTCTGATGTAATGCCACCGCAGGCGCATTATGTCGTGACGTTCAATTAATTGTGTCCTCTTTGACTGGCATGTTAAATATTTGAAACCAAGCCTACGTATTGTCCGCCTCAAGTATTCACGGGAGCAATGAAGTATATCGTCTTGTTTCAATGCCGCATTCAACTTTTTCAACGACGGGATACATTTTTTGACAGTATACCATTGTGTAATTTTTCTTCGTATGACACCTTCCGTAAAGTTGTCGATTTCAATCCTTTTTTTAGGAAACCGGTTTTCCGTGGTGATTTGAAAGTCGCTGTGCTGCCTTGTGCTGCCATGATTCTAGCTTCTTTTATAATTTTTTTAACGCTGGTTTCAGACAAACCTGTGGCTTCAGCAACAGTTTTTGCTAAATTAATGTCGTTTGCGTATTTGGCCGATGTTCGGTCATTTTTTCGCCTTTCAAAAAATTGGTACACTTTATGTACAACTTCCTTAAGTTGTCTTGAGATAGCCTTACTCATCCTGAGATCTTAATCTCGTGTGCGTAGAATATCAAGCACGTGTTGCCGCTTCGACTGCGCGGCCGAGACTGCCGTATTTGACGCGCAAATGCACGCGTTTCCCTTCCCCGCTACACCACCCGCTGACATCTTGAGTATCTCGTCCCCGCCACCGTCTGTCACCCCGCAGGACGGTCGCGCACGACGTTGATGGACTATAGTTGTTAGTCGTACTATCTCGTACTGACAACAATTTCTACATTTTTTAGGAATCTATGGATTGACAAATGGCTATAATATATGGCTGTATGTAATTCTTTAGATTTGTTAAACCACAAAGAGTCTAATAAAATCCATATCTGTTTCATTCCTTTATTACCATTAAAAAACCAGTCCTTAATATTTTTCTAAATATGAGTTTATAATAGTTGTTTTATAGGGAAGATAATAGGGAATAGCTTTAATGTGATGTGAAAACAAAAAGTGAAAACAAAAACACGTAAAACCATTTATTCACAAATTGTAAAATATGTGCCTATGGTACGTAGGTATTAAAAACTATTGTCGACGGGTTTGTTGCCCTTTTCAATATTTGTCTCAACGTCATTACTACTTTACCGGAGTTCATATTTTAATGTACCCTATATATTTTCAAGTAGTTTATCTTTTGTTATAATGCGTCGTTACGTCGTTACCGGCGCTGTACTAAACGAACCTTTAGATCGTATCCGTCATAGAGTGCGCATCGCCAATATGAGTAGCGATCGTACTGAGCTACTCCGCTCATATCTACCGTCTCACATTCTCCGAATCCCTTCTCCGAACCCATCCCAATCCTAAGTGGTGTCCCAGAGGGCTCGTCGGCGTCGTCAGCGTGCTCGTGGTGCGGGCTGGGCGAGGCGCGGCGGAGGCGAGCGCGGCGCCGGCCGCCGCCCTACGCGCGCGCCCCGCACGCTCGCCGCGCGCACGCGCCGCACCACGCGCGCTAGCCCGGCGCTCCTCTCCGGGACTCCTCCGCGATATGTCCTTCCTCGAGTATCCTTCCGATCCACCTTCATCGTCGCCTACGACGCCGGTGTGATCCCGTCGACGGTACGGATCGACGGCGCCGCCGACTCAGCGTAGAGGGGTGGGCTCCGCGGGGACTCGGCGGCGTGGCGCGACTCTCTAAGGATGGCGACGGCGTACGGAACTTCTCGTCGCGGAACGTACCGCTCCTTCGCCGGGCGCTCCGTCCTTTAACCTTCGAAGGAGTTCTCTGAGCCGTCGCCGCCGTCTTTGAAATATATTATGGCTTATCGTCGCCGGTATGAGTCCGACTGGGAGGAGAGCCTCCCCGGAGTCTATAATATTATTCAATAAAATATGTCCCGCCGTTGCGTCTTTTCATTTAGAGTAGTGTCGACTGCCGCAGCGGCTCTTACGTAAGTAGCGTCGAAATTATCGATAGTATGTTTATCGATGGGTCCTTCGATTGAACTGCCGTAAACGTATCGCTCGTACGAATAAACCAGATTAGCATAATAAAAACACGTTCAACGAGCGATACGGTTCTATCAGAAATAAAGCATCTGCCGAACGGACGAAACGTATTACCAGAGTTCCACTACGGATCGACGGCTACTCGCCGTCGTGTCCGTGAGGTAGATGTTTCGCCGACGAAGGGCCTCATCGAGCGGTCGAATCGAATCACTGTGTACGGTAGGCGAGAACGACATCGAGGCGGCTCGCGCACTCAGCGCGGAGAGCGCGGGCGGCAGCGGCGCCGACATCCTGCGGCGCCTGGTGTGCGCCGTGGCTACGCGCGGGGTGACGCCGGCCGGCACCGACGGCTCCGCGCCGCCCTCGCACGCGCCGCACCGCCACGACCTCGACCCGCAGCTGTCCACGGCCGCGCACACCGACATGCTGTTGCTCAACCTCATGCGCATGAACGGACTCACGCCCAAACACTCTCGACACGGTGAGTAGACAACGTTTTTTTTTACGGCTTTAATTTTGTTACTTCTGAAAATCTGTCTTTCTAGTTTTTCTATCTGCTTATCGACTCTATCGTTGACGACCGAACCTATCAATGTTACTAAGGAAACGTGTATAGTGGTCATAAAGTTCATTCTAGCTAGACGAAAAGGGTTTTAAATTTCATGCAGACCTTTTACTAATTTAAAACTCGTGTTACATACCAGAGAAAATATAATGAAATCATCCAGTTTCGCAATTTATATGTCGACATCCCAAAATGATAACAAAAGAGATCACATTTGTAATAAATCGTAGGATACATGTCAAGTAGCACTTTTAAATTTGAAACTATAACAGATATTATAGATTATAACGAAAAATATAATCGAATATGAACATTTCTGGCCTCTTGTCCATAGTTTTAAAGATTAATTATGATAAGTGAGCTGTTTTAAATGCACTAAATAAAGGGTCGCTGTCATTAAATAAAGCCTGTGTTAATCTAGGCGGTAAGCGGCAGTGGAACAGGCAGTCGGGCAGTCCGCAAAGCTCGGTGTTCGGCGGACGACGCAACTCGGCGGGCGCAGCAGGCGCGGCGGGTGCGGGCCGCCGCCCTCCCGGCGCCGCCAGCTCCGCCACGCGCTCGCGCCGCCTGCCGCAGGCGCCGCACTCGCACTCGTCGCACTCGCACCCGCACTCGCACGCGCCGCTCTCGCCGGGACAACTCGCTCGAGGGTCCGACCACTCGCACTCACGTATGTACTCATCGCACTTATCCGACCGAACCCTACGACACTAACCTTGTTCCTTTCCTTATAAATATATACAGGGTATTATAGAAAAGTACCGGAACAGCATTCTGCTAACACTTACGCTCATATGCTCATATGTTATACCGGGTGTTACAGAAATTTTGCCTTGGCTCTTGTAACTTTTGTGTTTAACGTATTTCCGAAAAATGCATCCCTAGCGAATTATTCTGCTGTTTCAGTACTTTTCTAACACCCGGTATAACTTATAAGCGTATAAGTATTAGCAGAATGCGAGTTCATAACCGAAGAAAGTGAAATCGGATTACGCGATCAATCTGACGTAAACTATATGTTCAGATTCAACAGTTTGAATGCGTTAAATGATTTTATGTAAATACTTGCATGAAATTGAAAAACTATAGTTTAAAATTTAGTAGATCTCTTTTTGTAAAAAAGAATCAATTTTTACTCTTTTAAATTCTTATAAGATTCAAAGGATTTTTTTCGTGATCAGTAGCAGTGTACAAAATTCAGTGTAGAAAATATAAGAAATAAAACTGAAGTCTGTTGATTCAAGCAGAATCTGTCTCACAAAGATTCAATGTAGACGTTATGTACAAATATACACCAACTCACGGTATTGCTCAGCACATTAAAAAAAATGCACTGTGTCATCATGTTCTTCTCGTTTACTACAGTTACTGCAATACATTTTTGTTAAATTTTGCCGCACATTGTTTCCACAAGCCATAAGAGCTTACGAGCGTCGGCCATTTAATGTAAACGAAAACTGTCCATTCGCGTTACGAAAATAGTGACGTTTGGTACGAGTGCTCGGTACCTGACCTGTCAGGGTGCGGGTTTCGATCGATGCGTAACTATTTTCTTAACGCGAATGAACTGACTTAAAAGTGTTTAGAAATTTTAAGCTATTTAGGACTATAAACTTGCCTTCCCCACCCACACATGCATTTTGACATTGATTCTTAAGGTATTATTGATTTTCATTTTAGACAGTCCTAAGTGAGGTACTATTTATATAATATGTTTTTTTTAATTTTAATTTATAGTTTCCATATAATTTGATGTATTTTTATGTGAATACGAACTGAAATATACTGTGTGTGTGTGTGTGTGCAGCGGGCCTGGGCGCGACCCCGCCGGGCACGCCGGAGCTGCACGACTACTGGCCCTCCGTGGCGTCCGACAGCGACGACGTCGACGTCGTGCTCGATTACAACGTAAATAACGATGTTACGCTTAATGTAATGTATTCTCTTCTTTACATTTATTCTTACGCGGTGCAGGTATCCTTTGCACGTCGACCGTGCTATTCTGAGCAGATATAAGTTTCCATTTTTAGTTACGTTATTAGTAATACCTCTATTACTTTTCCCAAACAGACATTTTGATAGAAATCTTTAAAACCTCTGTCGAATATCGTGGACTTTTACAATTATTTTAACACATTGGCTGTACCCTTAGATGTGTGAGTGTATTGATTTGATACAACCAAACCAAAACTTTAAATTTGTCATCGTAACATACGGTCAATCTATATTATAGTCCATCCAAGCTAAGAGGTACCGTTTGACTTTTCATACTTTCAAGCCGAAACAACTTTGTATTGGCGTAACGCACACAATTATACTCGTAATAAACTTTTTCATAAAACCATTGAATTATGAAGCTATTTCTATTTTATCATAATGTATACAATACTCGATAACTAAATTTAAATCGTTTAAACAAAGCGAAATAACCAATATATACAATGGCTAAAATTGTTTAAAACTTCGTTTCAAAGTCACGTAGTTAGGTCCTTACCATAGTGTTGCGACTCTTCAAATTCACTTATATACGCATAATAGTTAAAATGAACTTATTAACGACCTGCCATTTTCGATCCAGACGTGTTTTAGTACTTAGGTCCAATACGCGCCAATGTAGATAGCTGCAAACTGAATATTGAGCAGGTACACTCGCAAACAAACGTACTTAGCATAAAAATACATTTATTTACTGTTTGCGTGAATTATTAATTATTCATTTCATTTCTATGAATATGATAAGTTGCAAACAATACATTTAAAGACATTTATCTAAAAACGTAATAATAATTATAATAATAATAATTTATTTATTTCGTAAAATACAACCTTTTATATTGTAGTCCTGGACGTTCTAGCTAGGCTACTTGTATAGCCTGTGTTAAGAACAATCCGTTGCTGAGTTCCATAAAATTAAGCAAAAGGTACATAGCACATAAAAATTTTAAATTACTTTGTATTACATTAATTGATGTGTTTGCTTGTGTGCACGTGTGAGTGTGTGAGAGTGTATGTGTGTGCGTGTGCGTGTAATGTCTGTGCATGTGTGTGAATCTATGGATTATCTACTTATTATAGGCTTTTTGAAGTCATCAGCTTCTCCGTTTCCAGATAGTTTTTCTTAGAGATATATTGAGTAATTTGAGATTTTATTGAAGCATAGGAGGATTTGTGTATCGGTAAGATTTGGTTAAATTTATTATACAGAAATGGTCCTAGGTAGAAAAAGAATCGTTTGGTGAAAGTGAAGTAAGTGTGAGGTGTAGTGTAGATTTTGATTCTTCGTTTAGGTATAGCGTCTTCATGTATGTGTGGAGCTTTTGTGTGCTGTTGGAGTATAGAGCTTAATATGAAAAGTTGTCGAACTGTAAGAACGTTGCAGTTTTGATATAACTCGAAAGTGGGATACCGTATTGGGCGAAAACTAGCAACTTTAAGTACGGCTCTCTGGGCTACCTCCAGTGGTTTTAAAAGCGTTTTAGCGGCACCACCCCAAACTGTGATACAGTAGCAAATAATTGACTGACACATAGCGTAATACACGGTACGAATGATGTGAGCATTGGCGATGTGTCGAAGGGTTTTAAAAATGTAGATGAGTTTTCGTACTCGATTTGCTAAGTGTATAATGTGTGTTTTAAAATTGAGATGCTTATCAAGTATGACACCCAGGTATTTGATAGTGTCGGTAGAAGTTATTGATGGACAGTTACAATTAGGTGAGTCCTTGTTACAGGTGTGTGCTTGTAGTATAATTGGTGTCTTCGGTTGAGATGAGGAGTTAAGTGAGAATGTGATGAGTTTTGTTTTAGAGGTGTTCAGTGTAAGTGAGTGTGAGATGAGCCATTTATAGATGGTGTTGAATCCATTGAGGGCTGCAGTTTGTGTTTGTGACCATGTGTCACCATAGAAGGTAATGGCAGTGTCGTCAGCAAAGGAAATAATTTGTCCTGACAGTAAGGTGGTTTGACAAAGGTTATTAATGTAGACCAGGAATAAGGTAGGGCCTAATACGCTGCCCTGCGGGACTCCATATGAAATGGGCAGCTCATCACTTAAGTATTTGTCAATTATCACTCTTTGTGAGCGACCAGTGAGATAGGATTTAAAGAGTTGAAGCTGTGTATCTCTAACACCCATGTTTTCAAGTTTGGAAATAAGGCATGCGAGAGGGACCGTATCAAACGCTTTTGCAAGATCAAGGAACACTGTAAGGACTTTTTTATGTTGGTTAAGTCTTTCAACTATTCCATTTACAAGTTCTAAAGCTGCAGAGGAAGTTGATTTCATTTTTCTAAAGCCGAACTGATTCCGGGACAGTAACGCATTAGACTCCAGATAATTAATAAGCCTTTTATTCATTAGACGTTCCATGACCTTGGAGAGTGCTGTTAGAATGGCAATTGGGCGGTAGTTATTGACATTAGTACGGTCACCAGCCTTGAAAATTGGATGAATGATTGCCTTTTTAAACGAAGATGGGAAAGTGCCGGAGGCAAAGCACAGATTGATAATATGGCATAGTATGGGTGTTAGGATTACGGAATATCTCTTCAAAAAAATTGTAGAAATGCCATCATGACCTACTGCGGCATTCGATTTTAGTGACATTATAGTAGAGGCAACTTCGTCAGGGTCCGTATCTAAAAGAACAAATGATTTTCGACATCCATTCCTTGAGGTCATTGGTGGGCTACTGAAGGTATTGGGTTGTATAGTTTTTATGTGATCAGCAAGATCCTCTCCGATGTTCACAAAGAATTCATTAACCTCGTTAACAGATTGAGAGTAGGTTTTGGTAGAATTGAATAGCTCTGTTGGTGTTCGTGTAGTTTTTGTACTATGTATCACGCGTTTTACAGTATCCCATATTAATTTAGTATTGGTACCTGCTTTGGCTAACTCATCTGAATCAAATTGTCGTCTCACTTTTTTCAAGATTTTGTAACAATAATTTCTATATCTTGTATAGGTAGTTAGCAATACTGTATTATCCGGCGACTGCCTACACTTTTTGTGCATTTTGTCCCTATTTCTCATGCATCTTAGTAACCCTGGGGTAATCCAGGGCTTTAAGATTCTTTTATGTTTTGAGATATGCTTTGCCGATGTATTTTGCTTAATTGTCTGGGAGAGTGTTTGAACAAGACAGTTTGTTGCGGAGTTGGGTTCTGACATAGTGAGTATGTGAGAGAGGTCAAGTCTTTCCATTGATTTGTCGAGAGAGACGTAGTTTGTTTTTATTATGGAAGTGACTGGATGATTGCACTGTGGCTTTAGGTGTAGAGAGAGGAGGGTCGCAAAGTGGTCAGTTACCGAAGACTCAAGAACAAAAACAGAAGATGGAGATCTGGTTCTCAGTATAGTATGGTCAAGACAGGTAGAGCCTCTAGTTGGTAGGGTATGAGTTGGCAGAAATCCGTGGTAAGCGAGAGAATTCAGGTAATCATGGGTTCGATAGTCCATGTGGTTGTTTTGATCTGCATTGATGTTAATATTTATGTCGCCGGTTATAACAACTGTTTTGAATCTATTTAAGGAACATAATATTTCATTTAGCGTGTTCAGGAAAATTTGAATACAATCGTTAGAGGGAGATCTATATATACAAAGTATAGCGACATCCGTGTCCAGTTCTATAATTAATCCAGAAGCAGACCCCTGAAAATCAGGCTCGCGGGTTTTATAAGCTAATTTGATTGATATATATACAACCACGCCGTCACTCTGATTACGGTGGTTATTGGTATGGCTTATGGAGTAGTTACGGAGCCGGGGCAAGCTAGCATTACTAAGACAGGGGAGCCAGCATTCGGAGAGAACAATAATATCGCATTCCATGGAAAGACGGGTAAGGAGTGTTTCAAAGTTATGGAAATTATGATTAATTGATCTAATATTTTGCGAGATTATATTCAGGTAGTCGCCCGGGTTTTTAATATATTTATTACAATCTTCAGGTTTACAACAATATGATTCAGATATAGAAAGATTATCTAGTTGGCTATTTAGTAGATTTATATCGCTAAGCATTTTTGGTTATATAAGGTGCAAGTGAAAGATGACTCAGGATAAGTCTTAGATATAGATGAAAGCTTAATAATATGAGCACTGGATTTAAAGCAAAGCGTGATTTGAATGTACGTGTATGTACTTGTGTGTATCCAAAGGAGTATGTGTTGTGAGGGAAGAGTAGCCATTGGTGATTCCGTAGCGTATGTAGGAGTACAATAATGTGTTTTGATAAATGTGTTTTTGTAATCTGAGTGGCAAATGTGTGTTCATACAATGATAAACAAAATTCTACATCATCAAAATTAGAATTACAAATAATTGACTCCATAATAAAAATAACAACATAAGAATGATGAATAACTGACTTAATAAAGAAATATAAAATAAAATAAAATAAACAAAGCTGACTTGTTAAAAAAATCATTATGCATGCTGATTGAAAAATAACTAGATAATTGTGTAGTCATTGACCCTTCGACAACACAGCGAGACACTTTGCTGTTTTTATTTCAGTTGGTTTTTCCGTCGGGGATTTACGCAGCAAGATTTTGCCATTGGAATACCAGCTAGAATAGTTGTGAACTTTAGCGAATGTGCGGGCTTCATATAAGAGCTTTTTAAATGATGGTGGAAGGTGCTCGTCTACGTACACCGGTTTTTTATCTCCCGATATTCCAATCAACTGAGTGTTTAACTTGTTTTCCAAAGTGTGTTCTTTGTTAAATTTCCTCACATTAGCTAAAAAATTGTTTCTGTTATTAACACTGGCGAATTCGGCAACAATGGGTTTACATACACCCGGTTTTCCAGGAATCCGATATATGTCCCGGAGCGCTGCTGGTTGTGTATCCATATTAACAGCCTTCCCGATGTCAGCTAAAACAGAAATGAGGTCTTCGGGCTTTTCTCTCTCTTTGATTGGTACGTTCCGAATCTCGATTGTGGCCTGACGGGCCTGGAAGTGTATGTCTCGTATTTGATTTCCTAGGCTGACAATGTTTTCTCTGCTATTCCTTTCATCTTCTTCTACTTTTGTCATCGTACCTCTGATTTCTTCGTATTTTTCATTGATGAAAGTTATACTTTTTTCAATTTCTGTGTTTGAGGCTTTGATTGAGAGGTATTGGTTTTTTAGGTCTGAAACGTCGTTGATAAGTTTCGTTAATATAACGTCTTGATCAGCTTTCCATGATGTGAGTCTCACGTCTTGTTCGGATTTCCAATTTGTGAGCATATCCAGGAGCTCTTTTTTGAGGTCTGTGCACGCTGCACATACGTAAGAACTCGCTTTGAGTGGAGAGTCGTCAACACGTTGTCTCTTACTGCGCACAGAAATATTCGTATCGCTGATGGTGGAAATAGGAGCCTCCGTTGGCGCGAAGTCGGGATCACATTGGAATTGTCCGTGCGCTTGTGTAGGTTTTGTTGAGGATGGTGGCGGAGTCCTTTGCATACTCATTTTGTAAACAAGTTTTCTAAACGTTGTTTTCTTGTTTTTTCTTCTGTATATTAAATAATGTATAAGTAGTAAAAAGATTCAAAAACACTATTCAAAAATTACCCCAAACAATAGCAAAAATACAATTTTCACTAACTTGGCCCACTGAGGTTTGAACCCACGATCACATCAGTTTAACGATCGGAGTGATACATGTAGCACATGAGCCACGATAACGTTAAGTTTTTGATCGAATTTACACACTACTTGTTATATTTATAGCTTGAGGATGAACGCAGTGTGTTGTTATAAGTTATCGCAAGTATTTGTATCACCAATAAGGTCAAGGTCCGATTTATGCAGAAGTTTTTAAAATTTACTAGTACCCACGTTAAATTCACAGAAACTGCATATTTATAATGTTTCAGTAGTTGTTTCACCATGGTATTCCACACATTTGTCACTTTTTTGTTGAGGTAGGTGTCTGTATTACTTTTAAGGAGCTTTACACACTTTAAAGACTGATTTGCAATTTAAAAGATGACAGAACAAGAAGTACGTATGTGAGCGGTAGTGTCACGGACGGAACTGTCCATTTAACATTCATGATCAGCGTCATTTGTAGGCACCAAAGCCTACAAATGAAGCAGAAATTAGATAGTGTGCAAATTTATAAAATCGAAAATTGCTTGCACCTATTTTTCATCACTTATATATCGCACCCTCGGTGCAACAAAGTCACAAGTAGGCAAAATAGCCAAAATGACTTAAGTATGCCAAATTGTCTATAAACCATTTCTTCGTTTGGGAAATCAAAGACAGCCGCGAAAGTATTTGAATATATTGATAGATGGCATTAGTGCCTTTGTGGTTCTTGCTACTTTTTCGACGAATATTGGGAGAACAGAGTATGATTGGTAAGTAGTGACCCCGCGCCCGCATGAGTCAGTCGTGACTTGGAGCTACACCAGCTTAAAGGTATTAATGTCAATTTTGATTCACGTATATTGAAAAAACAAAGTGCCATTATAACGCTCAAATAATTAAATTATATTTGTACCTGGTGCGACATAGTCACAAGTTACGACTTTTTTTTTTGTTGCCTTTTTTTCAATTTTCTAATAAAATCAAAGAAATCTTTTTACATGATACTGTAGTTAAAAGAACAAATAATATAATTTTAATGAGATATCCCGGCTGCTGTAGGTAGTAATCTAGGAAAAAGGAAAATTGATCGAAAAAAAACTTAAAAGTCCGTTCCTGTAAAATTACAAAATGACCTGTTGTGACTTTGTTGCACCGAGGGTGCGATATGATGAGTCTTTAAAAAAATAGCAAGTCATTTTCAACCTAATGAACTTTCTCAATATCTAATTTCTTTCTGCCATTATTGACACACATGTTCCTGTAACTATTGTGTTATATGTCTTTCCTTACGTGTGTTTAACTGTTTTCATAGATGGCATTTGATTTTACCAATCTTCATTTGTCTAGATTACTTACAAACAAAAATCTGTAAACTGCAATCGATTTGTAAATACAAAGAAATGATATCGAAACCTCTTAAGAATCGGATATTGTAGTAATCGATTTCTTTGAAGCACTATGTTTGCTTCAATCTGTCAGAACTGTCAAGCGGTACTTCTTAGAATAGATGGACTACAGAATTTCCAAAATGATACGCTTGTTTTTCTTTACTCGAATTGATATCGTTGAATTTTAATAGACGATGTTTTTTTAATAGACGATGTTTTTTTTTGTTTTTTTTACTTTTTTAATACTAAACCTTTTCAAGATGAAATGCCGATTGACAATTCTAGGTTAATGTAACACTTGGAGATTTTTAGAATGGCACGGTTGAATAATGGTATTATTTTGTACAAGATAAATAGCACGATTAATATTTAAAAGCTTTAAAAGCTTTTAATATTTTCTGCTTTTTATTATGTTTTTCGACAAAGATGTGAGCAACTGTTCAAGAGTGCAGTTTAGTAATTAATCTATATTTCGCAACTTTTTATACAATAAATGTAAAACTGAAAACCTGTATTGAAAAGACCTTACAAAATTTATATATGGACGAGAGTATGATGAGGTCTTTTAAAGGTTACTATGAAGGTTCTACCTAACTGGCGTGAGTATTTTTATATTAGGATTGTCATTTTGATTCGAATTTATAATTATGGTATTTTTTTCCTTTAAATATGGGCGAACGACTGCACCAGTTTTTTAAGCGTCAAATTTAGGGTTGGAATTATCCTAAGTTTGGGCGCAATATGTCCAATCCGCAAAATGTCCTATTCTCAACTGTCCTATCCCAATCCCTATTCTCAATTGGTCCAGTTCGCAATTAGTCCAATGTTCAATTAGTTATATTCACAATTGATCCAGTTCGTAATTGAGGAGCATCCTTGATTACGAGAGGCTGTTTTGACGATCTCCACAAAAATGCATATAGCTGGCTTTGCTTGTGCGCTTGTGCGTTGTTAGTCGCAATACTAACTTAACCTACCTTTTCATTGTCTATAAGCTAGTGTGATTGGTTCAACTACTACAACGCAAGCAGTTCGATTATGGCACACACACACACCAAATAAGTATTGGACATTCTGCAAACTGGACACTGAGAGCTGGACATTTTGCGAAGTAGATATTCTGCTTACTGGACATTCTGCGAATTAAAATTTCTGCGTAATGGACATTTTGAAACCGCTGGATATTTACGAATTGGTCATTCTGCGACTTAACCTTTTTATTGTGCCAATTTTGGTGTGTGTTAATATTATATAAAAAATCGTTTAGGGGTTTCTATTATGAATATTTTATTATAGCGCTACTTAATATCTTTGCTTAAAAATATGTTCATTTATATGACAGGACACGCTATTCGACATGCTGCTGAACAGCCTGTCCATCGACAGTCCCGGCAGCCCGGGCGGGGCCGGGGCGGGCGGGGCCGGGCGGGCCGCCACGCCGCCCGTGGCGCCCTGGAGCCCGGCCCCGGCGGAGCGCGGCGAGCGCGCGGATTGACCAGGGCGCCGCAGCCGAACCGCGTGCCGCTACCGCCGAGAGTACCACCACTGAGCGCCAGGACTCCCCCCGGCCCCGTTTACGTTCACGCGTCTCCCGCCGCAGCCGTGGCTCGATCCAGACTTTTTTCTGCTTTTGTGTCGAATGTGCAGCAATTAGACGTCGGATCTCGAGTTCGTGCCCTCGTGTTGTCTGCTCGCGCTCGCGCGGGCCGCCGCCGTCACGAACTGCGAAGATTAGCTGAAACTCAAAATTTAAAGGATCTCTTATATTTATTTGTAGTAGTTATTGATAATTATCAGTACAATATAAAAATAGGGAGGACCGAACCTCGCGGCGCCTGCCAAAAATATTAGAGTGCTATTTTTGTTCTATGGTAATATATTTTTATAATTAGGGAACTCCTTCGGCGAGGTCGGTCGATAGATGCTATGCTTACTTTTATCGCATTTACTTTCTATTAATTGATAGCTTACGTTGTTAGAACTGTTCGAGTTTTTTATCGTGAGAAATAATGATATTTATTTGTAATTAAATACTCAACTCTCGACTTGAAACGTACTTTAGAACTGAAGAGCTGTTGATGAGCTCATAGGATTATATTAATGTATTGACAGACAAGTTTGTTACTCTGCATTTTATGACAATTACAAACTTAATAAGGTAGTTGACAAAGAGATGATTAGCAAACTGAAGAGAGTCTACGTTTTCTCACATATAGGGAATTAAATAAATAAAATAATAATAAAATGCGACAAATCGCGAAACTCGTAACGAACAAAAATATATTCATGCTTAGTTAGTAGTAGCTTCATAAATAGTTTGACAATTCATGACCTTTGACGTGTGATTTGTCGGCAAATTACGCGGTATCTTCGTTGTTGCTCATAGAATCATAGTTTATTCTACATCACACATACTACATATTACTTTTTGTTTCTTTACAATAAAAATGTCAACTACCTGTTTGAGTTAATAATTGCGAACGACGCTTAGTGTGCTTCATTGTTCGGTCTCAACCTGACTTAGTTTAGTTATCTGTGCATAAGTATTTAATGGTTAATTAGATTGACATTACCGAGAGTTCAAAGAGTGTGATTCATTTAAGGTAATGAGAGGCATGTAGTGAGTAGTCTGAAACGACATGTTTTATGTATTAGCCACTTGTTGATATTTAAAATATATTATTGAATTAACTGATTTTGATGTCGTTAGTTTTACTTTAGTCAAATTAGTAAATATTACAATTCCATGGGTACAACTTACTGATTATCCGTAACGATGTTTGGTGTAAATTATATTTTTGATTCCCTATCAAGTTGATGTATTGATGTTATGATTATTGGAACTTAATATATTAAAATGTCACCAGAAGAATGTTGTATTGATTGTTATAACTTTTTGTTTACTACCTTTTCAAATAATTTTAAATGAGTAATTATTTCTACCTGGCCAGCCCACTGCCACTTCAGCTTGCTGATGCAAGCTGAAGTGGCAGTGGGCTGGCCATATTACCCGCAGAACCGACAACCGTTGGGGAAAACGAGTTCTTGAGTGGAGACCGCGTCTCGGTAAACGTAGTGTAGGACGCCCACAGGCCAGGTGGAGTGCCGATTTGAGCAAGATGGCTGGCAGGAGCTGGATCCGAGAAGCCCAAAATCGTTCTAAGTGGCGTGCAATGGGAGAGGCCTATGTCCAGCAGTGGACTGCGATAGGCTGATGATGATGATGATGATGAATTATTTCAACATATATAATTATATGTGGTTATATCTAAAAGTGCTAATAAATATTAGCACTTGGTTGAGTTATTATATAGTTGGATTCTCATTTCCTTTGTTCTCATAATGACATTAGCAAAATATTATATTCGTAAATGATACATTCTCAAAATATTACGTAACGCTCAATTACAGCCAAAGTTGTTTCAGAGTTAGACGAAATCTATACTAATATTATAAATGCGGAAGTGTGTCTGTCTGTCTGTCTGTCTGTTAGCTCTTCCCGCTTTAAAGCTTCTGGGATGTACACCAACAACAGCGAGGGTAACACCGCGGGGCGCAACTAGTATTAATAAACCGACTTGTAAAAATATCTGAAAAGATTTACTTACAGAAATAAATATCATTTCATCATTTCAATATAAATCGTAACTAAATTTATTAGTATCGTTGAGTCCCTAGCACAGGGATTGAAGTGGTGAGCGGGAAGTTGGCGCTCTTGAGGAAGTCGGGACGGCCGTCGATTCGGTCGCGGCCTACAGGCCCATCTTGAGAGGGTACTCTCTGCCCGCATCGTCCAGCAGTTGCGCGAGGTCGGCCCCGGTTTGTCGGACTCGCAATTCGATTCCGAGCCGACTGTCGGTGCTGTGTTGCGCCTGGAGCCGTGACCAAAGAAGCGGCGGCGTGCTGTTGGCGTTGTTGTTGGACAGAGAGACAGTCTGCCATTTAGGTGCAACAGGGAAGCACTAAACTAACATGGGGTGCGGGTACCTGAGGCGGCAGCGGCGTACTATTTAGAGGAGCGTACCGTCATGTACAAGGACCGGGACGGTGTTTTGAGGAGTCGCTCCGTGTCGTGAGAATAAGGTCTGGTCCTCTTTATCTTATCTTTTACTACTACATGATCTTAAAATTTTCTCATTTTTCTGAACTATAATTAGCATACAAGTTTGCAAAAGCATCTTCATACATACATTAATTATCTCTCATTAATTCTCATTTACAAAGTCCTAGTATCTAAATTAATAAGTAGGACCACTAAAATCCGAGTCTACAAAACAGATTTTGATGTATGGATGCGACACTTGGACACTAACGATAAAGGAGGAAGAGAAATTCTTACTTGCCGAACGTTCTTACGTTCGGCAAGTAAGAATTTCGAAAGATTTATTACGAAAGATTTTGGGTACCAACAATAGGAGACAATGGTGAGCGGAGACAAAGATATAATCGTGAGATAAAAGTAGTATTAGAGCCAAATTTGATTATATTATATTATATATTATATATACAATAAAAACTGCCTGATTTCGCTGGTATCGGAGTTCATGTCTCCGTGATAATCGCCACTTTAGGAGTGAAATTTAAACAGCCTAGTGGTTAAGACATTGGACTTGCGATCGAGAGATCGTGGGTTCAACACAAGCAAGTTAGCTTAGCTGGAGGGGTTAACGTTAATACTTGTAAATTTGGTGGCTAGTAAACCGTGTGCGTTACCCCAGCAAAATAATGTCGAAAATGGTCATTTAAACGTTATAGATAATTAGTTGCTCCCCTTCTGTAATTGTTAAGCACATTTTTAAATTTGTTTCACTTAAACTTTTTTAGTTATTTCAAAAAAACATTTCCTGCTGGGGTAACGTTTGAAACGTTACCGCAGCCAGACATTTCCTTTTTTAATTGTAATATTGAAATAAATTTTAGCTAAATAATTAGTTATCTGGACTAGGTAAATGTTACAACTTATTTGGTATTTGTATTTTCTTCGGTTGCGAAGTTATTCGAAATCCTGCTGGAGTAACGTTTGTGGGTTTGCTGGATCTCTGAAACGGGTAAGCGGATTGTAACCATCTTTTGTACATAACTTCTTAAGGATTAGTTTTAATTTGTTCGACAATAAAATAACAAAAATAATGGACCGTTTAAAAATTATTTAGGTAAGTATGAAAACACTTAAATACGTCCTAACACTTTAAATAAGACCTCTTAAGACTTATTTAAAACGTTATTCTATTGCTTGTAACTACATTCAAATGTATACGAATTTTCGTAGGAATACTGTAAGTGACTAAAAAGTTATGATGAAATGTAGCTCTCCACGTTCACGATCAAAATGTGTGCGGCCTTTTTTGTCCACCGATAAACCTGTGTGTGGATATATAAACTGAATGTTATGCCAATAATTAGTGGTTTAGTTCAGTTGTCTACCTGTAGAATTTCAGCGTCGTACATATAATAATTTACGAGATAATTAAATAAAAGTCATTAGAAGGTGCAAGACCGTGGTAATCCGACCGTGTTTAGGTGGTTACAAAAAAGCGATCACCCAGTACATTGCGCTGTCTTTTAAAATGTTTAGTGTGATACACCTTACGATTTCGGTACAGTTGCGTACAGTGTTAAATACATTCAATATTTATTCATTATTATTACCTATTATTTATTTTGTTTTTTTCCCTAATTGATCTTAAGCACTAGTTTCTTTACTTAAAATTTATTTAGTCTTTTTTACTACCGGAGCTACAATCAACAGAAAATCTGCACTGGTCCGCTAAAATTATAAATATGTAGATACATGTATGAACGATTCACCTGACTGCAATAAAACGAAAATTTAAACCAATAAGAAATCGTTTCATTTCTTTGATTTTTTTTTTTGTAAAGAAATAACACTAAAGTAATTGTATTTTATTTTGGGGTGTATAGAGCTTAGACTTGAATGCATCAAAATATTTAAAGCAACAAGTTATCTACAATAAGTTAAAATAGACCGAATAGTAGAAGAATAAATTAGAATAAATTAGAAGAAGTTGTAAATTAGAATGCATCAACATTGCATCGCCCAACAGACGTGTACCTCGTAAGAGTAGGTAATATTGTTCTGTGGTCTATACCTAGAACCGAGAATTATCTATACCTATGTACCTAACGTTAAGCGTTGAGCCCGTTACTGTTGATTTCTGTTAAAAACGAACAGTTGTTGAATGATATTTTGATATAATAACGGTAATTTAATTTATCGAGTGAAAGTGATACATTTTTATAGATAAAATTATTGGTCAGATAATATTTGTCAATCAAGAATCGCTGATAATACATCCTTCGCTAGAACGCGGGAGGGGAGGGGCAAAGGGATACTTCATTGTTTGCAATTTGCATCTAGTGCACTAAACTTGACCCTTAGGCAGATAATATACGTGTTGTAAAGTACGTGTGCGCTTCCGCTTTCTATTTTTGCAAATATTTATCGTATTCTTGAGAGTTCTTCAATATGTGTGTACCTAATTACTAATAATAGGCATTAATGCTAATTCGATTCAATTTAAGTAATTGTCAATTCTTGTCTTAGGATATTAATTACTAATGCTAATATTGAAATTTCGTTCAGGGTGAACAAATTAAAAACGATCATAACTTTTAGGTAGGTATATCACTTATTACTAATTTTACATAAATAATTTATTTTATTATAATTTAACTCACCGCGATTTTGTGATCAAATATTTTATTTTCTCCAACATTATTACAGAAATAATGCAATACAGAGTTTGTTCGCGATATGCTAGCCTAAGTCGATTCATCACTTAAAAAAAATCCCCATCTATTCACAAAATACCTATTTACAACGCATACGTTACACTCTTCAAAACTGATCATTTCATTTCATATTTCTTAAATTACCTATACCTACCCTAAAATTAAACTTCAATTAACAAATACTACGCAGGTACCAATTCTATGAACAACTATAAACAATTCACCTAAACATTACGAGAAAACAAAAGCATTCAAAACAATACCTAATCTCCCGGCTGATTACTAATTATGCAATAAACAATCCTAAATAAAAAATATTTAAAAAACATGTAGTTTTTTGTAACACTTATGTACATATCCGTAGTAAACTTGCAAATAATATCCTACATATTTTAAAAGCCAGCACAATGTACTGGGTGATCGCTTTTTTGTAACCACCTAAACATGGTCGGGTTACCACGGTCTTGCACCTTCTAATGACTTTTAGTTAATTATCTCGTAAATTATTATATGTACTACGCTGAAATTTTACAGGTAGTCAACTGAACTAAACAACTAATTATTGGCATAACATTCAGTTTATATATCCACACACAGGTTTATCGGTGGCCAAAAAAGGCCGCACACATTGTGATCGTGAACGTGGAGCGCTACATTTCATCATAACTTTTTAGTCACTTACAGTATTCTTACGAAAATTCGTATACATTTGAAGGTAGTTACAAGCAATAGAATAACGTTTCAAGTAAGTTTTAAGAGGTCTTATTTAAAGTGTTAAGACGTATTTAAGTGTTTTCATACTTACCTAAATAATTTTTAAACGGTCCATTATTTTTATTATTTTATTGTCGAACAAATTAAAACTAATCCTTAAGAAGTTATGTACAAAAGATGGTTACAATCCGCTTACCCGTTTCAGAGATCCAGCAAACCCACAAACGTTACTCCAGCAGGATTTCGAATAACTTCGCAACCGAAGAAAATACAAATACCAAATAAGTTGTAACATTTACCTAGTCCAGATAACTAATTATTTAGCTAAAATTTATTTCAATATTACAATTAAAAAAGAAAATGTCTGGCTGCGGTAACGTTTCAAACGTTACTCCAGCAGGAAATGTTTTTTTGAAATAACTAAAAAAGTTTAAGTGAAACAAATTTAAAAATGTGCTTAACAATTACAGAAGGGGAGCAACTAATTATCTATAACGTTTAAATGACCATTTTCGACATTATTTTGCTGGGGTAACGCACACAACAAAAACAACTAAATTAATTTATAAAACTTGATCCGATAGTTATACAATAACTATTCATCTTTTTTCACCGTATATTTGGTTCACTTCATCTGATATCTTTAAAGCAATTTCTGGAAAAAGCTTTTAAAATGGTCAGGGCCGTGATCTTAGGAATGAAAAATAAATTAAGATCAATAAATGTTTAAGTTTTGTGTTAGAACTTTATGGTGGTGTAAAGTATAAAGACCTCTATTTCGCCTATTTGACAGTAAATCTTACATAATAATAAAAAAAAAAACTGTTAAATAACGTCTAACCTACCTACCTAGGAACCCTAACCTACGTCCGCAAAAATCGAATGATAAATCACCGTTCACTTATTTATCACTATATCTATATACTTGCTTGATAGATTCATCTATCAAGCAAGTAAAAGATGAAATTTAGTTAACGGGACCATCAATATCAACAACAAATAACATTGATACTTTGATAGCGACTTGAAATTCAATAGGTTTATTAGTGACTTTAATTTTTCTTAAAAGAAAAGCAAATATTTGTTTTTTTATTAATAGGTTTTCAGTGTACAACAAGTGTAATAATTGCGAATTGATGAAACCGCCTTCGAGATAACCTTCTAAAGTGTTTGCGGAATGTGTCATTCGTATGATTTCGAGGTGCGTTTGTACGGCCCTTCTGCGCCACTCCATTGCGGTGTCAGTAGTCGCGTCCAAGAGTTGGGATAAAAGTAGTGGATTAGGAAAACACAAAATACTCTTAATAAGCGAAATAAAAGACATTTTAATTGATTCAATATTTTATTTTCATTGCTCCAAAATATACACAATGACAAATATTGAAAATCTGGATTGACCCACATTTGCAAAATGTCTTTAAAGGTGTTTATTTGAATTTAATAGCTGATTACACGAAGAACATGAATAGATTAATTGAATACAAATCTGTTGCAAGCAGACACCCGGGTCCGTCGCTCGGCGGACATTTTGTCTTTTAACGTGTAACGAGCGGCGCTCCGCTCACTACTGCCATCTACCGGCTACGTACAATACGATTCAGTAAAATTAGTAAATTCACTGTTCCTACATTAAATGATATATTTACAAATAAAACTTTAAAAGGAACGCTTTGCAAACATTCAACAAACTTGAGATCGTCTTAACGTAAAAGATGGTATAAAATTTTAAAAAGTTAAAGAACGAAAGTCTAAATCATCATTTTGTCGACGAAATTATTTACAATAATAATTACATTTTTTTTCATAAATTGTGCCGAATCACGTTTTACATCTCTCACAAAATAAATAACAATTGAATTTAGCCTAAAATACTTCTTTGATAAACAAAACAATAAAAAATAATTGCATTCAACAAAGCTACGATAACAAATTTAATATAAATTAAAAATATAAGAAATGTACAATTTTTACAAAGCTAAGAGGGATCACGTTTATTATTATCACTGTAATGTAGTGCTTTTGTTAGTCGCAGTTAACTGGAGCCGATGTTGCAGACACGTACATAAACACAATACATGTATAACATATAGTTATCATAAGTGAATAGTTTTAAAATTACATAATACGTATTGCGTTCAATATTTACAATTTAAACAGCTCGCTTATATTTCCTAAACGAAATTGAAGCGTTTACATCTACAGGGCTCTGACAACACATCTAATTAATCAACGCCGTTGACTCACACATATTTTGTTATCAGAGGCGACACAATAAGGTAACTTTAATTCGTACAAGTTATCTACATTATTATTGAGAATTGTGCATAAGTTTCAAATCAGCTAAAAATCTATTGCGCAGGCAAGTAGGTGATGTATGCATTTCTTGTATAAATACATAACATTAAACCTCTATTTTGAAACTCCTGTAGGTCCTAAATTAACTCTTATTTAACTTACATCTAAGTGGTGTTACAGTAGCGTGGTCAGAATATCTCGTACCCGTGGGGGTATCAAATCACTTTTAATACGAATTAAATATTAAGTCCGGGGGCACCATCACTATCGTGTTCCATAGTTTACTCTAACTACCTACAAGAACCACTAGTTTGTGTATTATGCATTTTGTTTTGCACTCTCGCGTCCACAGCACCTCCATATACATGTAGTCGTGTACGTACGAGGGGGGGTCCGCGGTAAAGTTTGTACGTGGTATGTACACACTTATATATAACATTCACATCGGAAAGTGCGACATCGTTTCCGTTGATGTGGTCAGTTGCTTCGTCGATAACGAGAACATCCTAAATCCTTGCATTCCGTCACCGATTCGTTCCTCCACTCTGATACGCTCCGCGCATTCATTATTCTGTCACTACATCAGTTTCATATCATTCTTTGGCATTATTTAGTGAGCTAAGTTCGTCTGCGTTTCCACTAGAATATTGAATTCGTGTATTACCGATAATTCCCATCTAGTCCACGCTAATAAAACGTATTGCACTACTGAATTCATAATTTTCAATTTATTAATTTTCGTTTTGTTTTAGTATTCTTCTTCTCTTCTTTCAGTATAACCGCTATAACCTATTTCTCAGTTACGAGATAATGTTTCATAAATATTGTATTTTCGCATGGAATTTCTAATTCTGAACATGCTATAAGAAGCAATAAAAGACTCTGAGTATTATCTTTCGTAATATTATACAATATAGATAGATATGTGACCTAATCTACTCAGTCGATTGAATCGAATCAAATAATAGCCTCTCTCGAAAGGAAGTTTAGAACGACGACCCGGTAACGGGTGCAGAGAACAGACTCGTACCGGACGGTTCGGAACGGGACGACGCGTCACCGTCCCGCCGTCGGGCCCCGGTCTATGGAAACGTCCGGCGGTCGGCACGGCAGCGTCTAGGGAACGGCGCGCGGTCGCGTCACACGTGCGACTCGAGCGGGTGGCGCGGCGGCGGCACGAGCGGCGCCGGCCACGTGAGGTCGGGCGACGACGTGCGCGTGTGGCGCGCGCTCCAGCCGTCCTTGTCGAAGTCCTTGGTGCCGCCCACCGTGTGGCGCCGCTTGATGCCGCGCTCCGGCATGCCGTTCTTGCGCTTCAGCTTGGTGCCGCGGCAGCCCGCCGCCTCGCGCCGCCGCAGCGTGGGCGAGCGGCAGTTCACGCTCTCCGAGCGCAGCACGCGCCCGCGCTCGGGCGAGCGGCCCAGCGACGACGAGCGCTTCGGCTCCGCGCCGGCGCCCGGCGCCTGGCGCCCGTCGGGCGGCGGCGCCGGCTCGGCGGGCGCGGCGGGCTCGCCCGAGCCGCAGTTCTCCTTCTCGGAGTCGTCGCAGTCGTCGCGCGCGTGGCGCCGGGGGCGGGGCCACACGCGCGGCTCGGGCTCGTCGGCGCTGGAGGAGGAGGAGTGGCGGTGGTCGCGCGCGAGCCACGCGGCCTTGAGGTCGTGCGCGCGCGCGGCGGGCGACACGCGCTCGTCGCGCTCGCCGTTCGCGTCGGAGGGCGACGACGCGCTCGACTTGGTCTCGGCGTCGTCCTGGCACTCGTCCGCGTAGGGAATGCTGCCGTCGTCGAGGGGCGACGAGTTGTTCAGCGTCCGCAGCTTCTGATCGAACGTGCTGGTCAGAGACGACACCAGGTCTCCGGTTCCTGAGGAGACGCAGCGTACGATTAAATCGAGTCGAACACGGGGCGCACGTTAGGCACGGACGAAAGCGTGTTAGAAAACTGAGGTGACGTTAAGTGACGGTTAAGTGACGAATGAACGATGATGTCGTATATGTACAGTAGAAGGCGGTATGAGAGTTGCGACGCCGGCTTACGACTAATATGTTAAAGCCGTGCTGTAACAGCCGCCGACTGAAAGCGTTAGTTCGTCGCTATATTTGTTCACATCCATTCGAGTCGATATTATGACGGCTTCGCTTCCACAACCTTTAAATGCTAGGCGGGGCGGAAACGACGCGACATAACTCGGCACACGCATATAAACAAACAATTGTACGTGTTAATTCACGCACACATTTGCAACACACTCACATTCCTATACCTTTTGATGTGGACAAAAGAAAGGGATTGCTCTGTATCTCTGACGTCAGTACTGGAAACCTAATGGGGCAAATAGCGGACACTTGTAATACACGTGTAAATTGGACCAAATACCAAAAGGAGTCCCCGTGCCGTCAGGTGGACTAAAGAGGCGGAAAGGTAAACGTACCATCTATGGAGAAGTTGTTGAGCGTGTGCCGCGTGATCTCTTGTCGACTGCGGCCCAGCGCTGTAATAGTCTCGAGTTCAATTCTAAAAGCAAGCAGACAGAAATATATTGTTAACTTATTGCCACATTTGTTGGGATTTTTGAAAAAGTTATTATTCAATTTTAATTCAGATGTGCAATGAAGGTTCCACTTACTTATTTACATCATCCTGTGTCCTTTTAACATATTTATGGTTTAACCCGTCATAATCCGCCAAGGACGTCGTCAGATGATGTGGGGGAGAGGTGAGGGGCGAGGAGGGAGGGGAGGCGCCGGGCGAGTCCCGCTTGTCCTCCGCCTTCTTGTCGGGCTTGGAGCGCGGCTTGCGCTGGATCTTGCGGTTGGCCGCGGATATAATTGATGAGACTATGTCCCGAGTTGATACATCTTTGCCTGCCAATCATAACATTGATTTTTTTTTAAAGAAAAAAAAAAATGTTTATAACAAAAGATTGAAATAAATCTATACTTCAGGGATAGATGCAATTACTTCTTTTTATTCTTATTGAGTCGATAGTTCTAAATAGTAATAAAATACTTAAAATAAGAATTTATACAGATACTAGCTTTTGCCAGCGGCTCCGCCCGCCTAAATGTCGGTTATCGCGTAAAAAGTAGCATATGTCTCTCCTCAAAAATCAAAGTATCTTCATACCAAATTTCATCTAAATCGGTTCAGCGGTTATTGGTTTCCCATACAAACCTCCAACCCCCCTTTTCACCCCCCTAAAGAAAGATTTCTGGGATAAAAACCTATGTCCTTTCCCGGGACTCGGACGATCTCTGTACCATATTTCGTAAAGGTAACAGACAGACACCTTTTCGCATTTATAACATTAGTATGGATAATGCTCAGTGTTGAATTGTCATGGACTCACCTTCAATTTTCTTAACATTATGTATAAGGAGGTCTCGTGAGGGTGCAGGCGCGGGGGACAGCTCGTCACCTGTCGCTGGAGGCTCCGTGGGAGGTTCGCCTTCCTCTTCTTCAAAATACCATTCATACTGCAAAATAAAGCGGTACTTAAAATACATTTAAAAATCTTTTATTTTATCTCATTGAATACTCACATTCACTTTACAACTTTTACCAAACATTTATGGTAATTTCAAAAAAATATTTTTAACGATACTCACGTGTGTTAGGAAAGATTCGATGATACGACATTGGCTGGACATGTCATTGACCATGGCCAGCATATCATCACTAGCCGCTCGGACCAACGTTGGACCGAACACGATGGCCAAGTTGCGCGCCTCCATCTTGTTGAAGGAGGAGTGTGCGACCACTCTACGCAAATGTTGGATCAGGTACTTGAGTGTTTCGTAGTGCGCTTCGGGCAGCGCGTGGACGAGCCGCCTCAGTTCGCGGCCACGTTCTGGAGATCGATCGGCGGCTGCAAAATAAAATATTTCATATTTATTTTATGGTTTAAATTACTTATATACTTAGGATTTTGATCCATCTCGGGGAAAGTAAAATGAAGAAAATTTGAATTTAATACACACCTCGTCAAACAAACAAAATCTGTTTGGGTGGTGTAGCGTCTGGAGTAGGTATGAATATTATGTTAAAGGTCTAAGTTCAATGTCCAGTTTATATGGACAGCCCCGAATTTAGCCCAGTATTCTATGACACCTAGGACCTAGTGAAATGTGGACATTATGTAACTCTGCATTTACCGCCAGAGAAAAAACGTTTGATCCCGACTTATTACTTTACACAAACAGTTACGTAAAGTAAGGATCATGTTACGGGGAGTAGAATGATGAGTTAAATTAATGTGACCTTGTGTGTGTGAAAAACAAGCACAAAAATAAACTCTTGGTTTAAGTCGTAGCTAACAAATATTGAATCGGTTTAATATGTCACCTATAAAAGCCGGATAAAGATCGGCGGTAAGTAGCGGGTCTGGAAGCCTTCGGAGGTACGCCTTGAGTAAGCTGGAGGCGACGTGCACGTCAGCCCAGCGCGGGTCGTTGGCTGGCGGCGGCTCGCCCCGGTCAAGTGCCGCCGCTAGGGCCGCCACGCCTGCCGCGTTACCGGGCACGCGGTACACGCCCACCGTGCGCAGACCGTACGCCTGAGAACCAACAACACTTGTCATATATATCGCATAAGAGGTTAAAAATATATCAATTAAAATTCCTTTGCAGAACTACTCACAGAAGATTATCACTCTTACCTTCTGTGAGTAACAGAAGGTAACAGTGACAACAACTGTGACAAAAGTTGTTAATAAACATTTTTTTTTAGCTCGAGCCAAACAAGTGTTTCAATACTGACCTCCACGGCATGTGCAGGTAAGGTTACAGCCCTAGGCACACACGGATGGTCGGGGTCGGAGGGGCAGCGCTCGAGGGGAGCGCCGAGCCAGCCCGTGGCGGGCGCGGCCGCCGCTGTGGCGCCGCCGTGCATGCGCCGCAACTGCTTCGCCATGCGTCCTTTCCATGTCTTGTTCTTGGGGGACGATGGCAGGGTAGGGGTCGGTGGGCCTGATGAGGAATTGTAACGTTAATAAAAGTAATTTTGTACTGGCATCTGTGCTGGGAAGCTTGAACTAATTAATTAATATTTCTCTTCAAAAGTAAAAGCTGAGAAAGTTAAATGATTATTATAGATTCTTTAGAATTCGCAATGAAATTATTTGTAATCTTTGGTATTAATGTGTGTGTTTCCTAAGACATAACAGTCCTAATTTTTCCTTATTTTTAAATCATCTATGATAACATACCAGTAGGAGACCTATTCCTGCCGATCTTCTTAGTGCGTTGCGGCGGTAATGGCGAAGGACAGTCTTGCTGCTGTGCAGTGAGGGGTGCGGGTGTAGCGGGCTGAGGTGTGGGCTCAGCAGGTGGTGGCTCTGCAGAGTGACGCCGGAGTGCCGCCAGCCAACGTTGGGCATCAGCTGCACCTCCTTCGGCCTGAAATTCGAAAGCATTTAAACATTGTGTTAGTGAACTACGCCGTTACTCTAAAGCATCCAGATTTACCATGGAATTAAAAACATGAGAATATGTATGTACATAAAGTTTTCCCCCACTAAGAACTATGATCCACAATGAGTTATGTTAGACGAATAAATAATTAAAAATAATTCTACAGTATACCAGAAATATCCATGAGCATAACCAGATTATTTTTAAACTGTTAAAACATTAAAATAGCGACGCCCACAAAATCTTCTATAAAGTGACTTTAAAAACTTTCACAAGTTTCTAAGTTAAAACACCTTATCCACAAGAGACCATCATTCAAGCGCAATGTAAAAGTGTTACTGAGCGCCAGGTCTATAAATGCAAAAATCATTAGGTATTCATTTGTACATAAATTGTACATACACATTAAAGAACATATCAATGTAACGTATATAGCTATACAGCTCAATTCAATAGAAAACGCTACACTGAATGTTACAGTAACTTTTAACATCACCACAAACAGCGGCATGTAACTACCTCTTTGAGTTTTGTTCTAATTCACAATTATTTCATTCATATTTTCAAAAGGTTATGAAGTTTTTGTTGTCTTTGAAATACTGTTTTATTAATACGCCTAAAGACAATATAGGGGCTATTGTTATAAGTTATGTAATTAACGTACCTGTAGTAATAACTCGGCGCCGGCAGCTGTAGTCACTCTGACAACATGTTTTCGTTTAGTGTAATCGTCTGCCAGAGCTGCAAGCGAATAGCGGACATCTAGAGCATCTCTTGACTGTTGCGCATCTGCGCCTCCGCCACTTACAGCGCCGGGGCTCTGTAACGAATAGAAAATCGGCTTTAGATCCGAACAGTCAGTTCAGTCATTAAAAACGGAGCTATGACCAACATAATTTTGTAATTTAGGGGGCTTAATTCCATTAACACCGCCTATTTACTCTTTCAAATTAATTATTGATATCTAGCCCAAAATCGATCTAATTGGCGTGCAATGGGAGTGGCCCATGTCAAGCAGTGGACTGCGATAGGCTAATGATGATGATGATGATCTACTCATATCTTAATATCTACTAACTCTTTTGAAAATCACATCCCAGCTAAGTCGTAAGTCTGTTAAAATAGAGATGGCAATGGATAGATTTGGCGTGTAGGTATGACCACTTGCTATGGAAGTCTTTTGGAGAGGTCTACGTATGGTCAGCAATACATTCACTGAATTGTGATGTTCATAAGGAGAACTCTTATCAAGTTTTAAAAGTAGAGGCGCAATGAACCTACTTAACTCCTACGATGTAATCACCAATATAAACAAAGCATAGATACCTAATAATGCTTAAAGTTTTTAAGCCTATTTTGATCAGTAGCTGTTAATACACCAATAAACCGCGTCATTAGAACGTCGATATTTTTACAATAAACAGGTTGTAACTCGTGATTTTGGCGCCAGTCCATCAGTTAACGTATTGATATAAAAAAAGTGTGACGTAAGCAAAATTAATCACATTTTATGATCTCCCTTATTTCATACTTTAAAGAATGTTGAGTATTGACATACAAAACAAAATTTATATTATCTAGTCTTTAATTATATATCTGCCGACAACCGGCGTAGATACACTGGCAAATGGTTAAAAAATTATTATAATTACGACAAAACGGATGCGCATTCCGAAAAACAAGTCGCGGACAAATCGTGAGGCGACACAGCTCACGGAACTAATATTAAAACGGTGCTGTCTAGCTTTCACCCCCTAATTATAGGTATTTTAAAAAGATAGATTTGAATAAGACAAGTGGTTTAAATGTGAGTCGTGTAATGCGTTAACTCTATTACCGAGTGAAGGCGGAATTAATCAAGTGTGGCGACGAAACGCACGCTTGCGCTTGAAGATCTGTGCCCGAGTCGCGCCGGCTGACTGCCGTGCAGCATCTACATTTCGGAAGAAATAGCACTAGAACCGTAATAATAGCCACGTTTGATATGGTTCCGATTCGATTCCACAAAATAATGTAGATTAGTAACGCACTTTATATTTTCAATACGACTTGTAACTTAGAAATAAAAATTCGCAACAAAAAATTTGAACATTTTGAAAATTGATAGAAACGTACAAATTAGTTTGGGGATAATATCGCCACGTGATATATTTGTAAATGGATGAATTATCGCTGTCGAAAATCAACTAGGCAGTCTTTGAATAAAAAATTACTACTACTGTTATCTATGTTGAAGTTGTGAATAGGATGTGTCAAGGACCTCGGGCGTGTTCAAAGCCCAGGCAAACCTAGAGGATAGTCGGTGGAAATCAAAAGTAAAATGTTTGTTGCGTTTTCCAACTTTCCGTATCCTACACGTAGATCGCGTTCAAGCCTTTGACACACAGTGCTCATCATTTAAATGTTAATCAAATGGTTCTACAAATAGTGTTGAGTGATTGCTTGCTATTTTTTTAAGAATTGTAATTTACATGTAACAATCTATTTATCTATGAAATTAGTTGCCAACAACATAAAAATAGCATAAAATTCAATCATAAGGCAGACGATATAGTACTACGAATAACAGAAAATGAATGCATAAAATGATTTATTTCTGACAGTCAACCTTTTTACTTTTGACCAGAATATTAAATGCAGAGGCATGATGATGAGAGATATGATTTATACATTACCTTAATTCATGTGAGAAAATGTTGGTTCGGGGAAATGGCTGAAATAAGATAACAACTGATGATGGAGTTTAATCTTGACCCACATCAACTAATTGCCGCACATGTAACAGTGGAGTAAAAAATGATTGTTTGTACGACATTTCGCGATCGTACATAACCTATTAGCATCACACGAAATTTGTGGGTCAACGTCTTGTTTGAAGTAGTACGGTGACGTAACAAATCGCGTGTACGAAGTTACGCATCGAGAGAGAGATGCTAATGAACAATTAACAGGGAGCGGTAATGAGGATGCTCGTTGGTTAGCCCTGTGGTTGGTGCGCTTATTTTATAGAAAGTAAACGAAAGAATTTCGAAACTATCGAAGTAATTGACCTGATAAATGTAGACACCCGCGGCACTTCTACCCATCGATGGTAATAGCATATTACTTTACTTGTAGGTCAATTGCCTGCACCTACCTTCCAGTAATCGTAATTGCAAGGCTTGGTGTCTGTCACGCCTGAGATTACACGATTATACGTATAATATGTAGGTAAACGACTTTAAGACGATTAGAGATCGATGGGGTAACGTTTATAGCGAGATTTGTTTAAAAGAAATGTGTCATTTCGTAGACACATGTCGAATTTTTGTTCCTTTATTCAAGTTAGAGAGTGATATGTTGTTTTATCTCTTTGCCACACTGTTCCACAACAAACGCGTGCTTACCAATATATCGGTGTACCACAGCGTCATGACTTGGCCGGTGTCCATGAACGTCACAGGTGAGGACGAAGCGAGTTGATCATTGTCACAGCTAGACACATGCACACCACTATAGTGTAGGTATTCGACACAGTCAACAAAACAATATACACACCCAGCGTACTTCACATCGAGGGCATCGGCCTCACACCATTTGAGAAATTTCAAAATACTGACTGAGATTATTGATAGATTATTGATACTCAAAATAATGGTCAAATTTTATGTATCAGTTAAACATGCGATCAAAGTCCGATTCAGCTGAGCGAATCGAATAAAACAATATAAACTTTAATAACTCTCCGGAAACGCAAATAAAGTTTGGTATAGTGCCGGGCGGGCGGCGCTCGCGCACGTCTGAAAGATTATGACGCCGTTCTGCCGAATTGCGTTTGCGCGGAGAAAGTGCTCTGGCGTAGACTTCGTGCCGTCTGCCAAAATGTGTTTTCACGATACGGAAACAAATGAAATTTTCCGAATTATCCATTCGGGAATACAATGTATATTTTATTTAGATTTAGTTTTCAACATTTTGCAATAGTAATATAACCTATGTTGTAAAAAATGCTTTTCAATTGATTTTATGTCATTAATTATTGTATCACATCATCATCATCAACAGCCTTTAATAGTCCACTTCTGTACTTAAGCTTCTCCTTAGAAAGAAGGTTTTGGCCTACTCTAGCAGTGCGTTGTTCTGCGTAGCTTGCTCCCTTGGTCGGTTCTCACGACACCCACGGGATCAATAGGTGGTCGCTCTCCGTATTCTTAATCCGCCACCAGACGGATCTTTTATCACATAAAGTTTTTATGTTTTACACGTTCAAATCATAAGTAGTAAAACTAAGAAATACTGTAGCATCCTTCCCACTACAAGAGGGTTTAGTAACATTATCTGTGATTGATATATTAATGTTAGGTTATGTGACTTTATTTTATGTTACCCATGCCATAAGAGGAGGAAAAATTTACAAATTACACAAAAGTGTTGAAAATGTTCATCCGTCCATCGTGTCCGAAAATATAGTAAATTACTGGCTATACCATTATTCCGAGAATGATGACCATATTTTCAACACTTTTTGTGTACCAAAATTAAGTTTGTTTGTCTGGGTGTTCATAACTAAAACCGAGAATTATTAATCAAACTATTAATATATATAATCCGTGAGGACTAGTGACAACCTTTCTTACAATTTCTTTAAATTCATTATTAACATTGGCGCTTATTAGTCGACATACGAGGTGTGCTGTATTGGAAAACACATCATCATCATATGCAAGTATAGTATTGTGGTTCTGTAGTTCGACTCAGGAAATGAACTTCTAAGCTTGATAGTTATATTACTTGTAACTAACTCCAAAACAAGAAAGAGGCTCATAATTATTCGCAATCTGTTCTTTGTTAGTGGCTACTTTTTTATTTAGTTGTTATTTTTTTGCAGTTGTTTTTAGTTGATGTTGTTTTTAGTTTATTAAAATATTGTAAAAAAAGAGTCAAACTTCATTTGCAGTTCGGGAGTGAAATCTTTGAACTGAAATATTATAAATCTGTATTGTGAATTCTGATTTCGTTGCAGTATTTCACTTATATATAACACACATTTGCCGTAAGCACGGTATATTGCTCTTAAGTGATCACTACAATATGTACATTATGAATACATACAATACATATTGTGCTACATTATTATTGTAGTGCAGTACGAACATAGCATCAAATTCCCTATTCAAAGCTATGACAGTCTAACGGTTTTGGCCTAACAGGTTCTTCAAATTTCTGCAATATTCATGTTTATTTTTACGAGCTTGTTAAAGCGCCCTGTATTATGGTTTGGCCTAATTTTATGTAGACTTCATTTCATCGTGACTAAGTGTCGCATACACAATGGTTGGATGATTCAACAGCGGCGTCTTAAAGATTTATAATGCGTAGCTACGAGTGCAGTACTCGCAGATCGATATTTGGTAATAATGAGTCATTGTTGCGTAACAACCAAAGCCAGACAGACGGCTCCAGGCGCTTACAGGGTTACTTCTTAGGGCATTAATGATACATATTACTATTTCCAAAATAATTGCGTATTAAATAAGATGTTAATAGCCGTGTTCTACAGTTTGGTTAAGTCGTAAAGGGTTTAAGGATACAAAATGCAGTTTGCGCTAATATCATTCTTCAATATTTTGAAAAATACTTTACAGAATGTTTTCTTATGAAAATATTAGGACTACAAAAAAAGGATACTTCAAGTTTGCTTAGTTTTACAAGTCTGTATGCACTCTAGGCACTTTATAACTTTCTGTTTAATTCCTGTAATGAGCGGGTGTAATGTGTTGAATTACGAATATTATCTATAAGTTAGAAAGTATAATACAAACCAGATCACCTTGGTTAATGCCGATCTGCTTTGCGTTGTATTACGTCAAGCTTCTAACGTCATACACGAATTTGGGTCAGTTCGTTTAATACATCCATATTTTATAATCTATTTTTATTACTGTTGTCTAGAAGTAGGACGGATATGCGGCCTACGTGTTCACCTGATGCATTTTACGAAATTACATTGTACTTGCTCAGAAATGTTTGTTAGCACTGGTTTATGCACCCAACGTGGGTCATTTAATAAATATAGAATGTAAGGCTATCATTAAGTCAAGAGACAGAATAGATCCAATACCTAATCTACTAAAATTTATATAAAAATGATCTGTATTAATAAACTTTTCAGACAAAACGTCTTTTATTGATTAGAAATGTTTTTGCATCACAACTAAATACTTGAGTTCGCAATATGAACATAGGTAACGTGGGACCGTTAATCGGTAGATATTATGAATAACCAGCTTATGAGTTAAATCGTTTCTGCACAACTCAATTCAAATATATCTTAGCCATTTCTACTTAAGCATGTATATGATACCGTCAACAAGACATGTAGTATGTTGTACGTTCCAAACGTGTCCGAGATCACGTACAAAGAAGAAACTTCATGGTGTATGTTTTGTAAAGATTCAGCGTACTCACCGCAAAATTTGTTTATGTTCTTTTTACGCAACCTCCAAAATTGAGTTCAGTAATTTTACCAAACCGCGTGAAGTTTCCAGAGTAGCGCCGCGTGAGTAATAAATTTGATATATATATTTTATTTTTTGTAACTAGATTGAGAAGAGGTAGAGTAATCGAACATATCGCATTCTGAACATTGTAGAATGACATGTCCATGTATGAATCGTCCGGTTCACCACTGGCAAGGATGCTTTAGCATTATAGATTGCTATGTTGGATATAGATTACATTATAGATTGCTTATAATATAGTTATAGTCGTAATGTGCAGGATTATGATACGGTAAAACTATACCTGTATAACCAATAACCCGTACCTATGCAAACTTGAATATGATCAACTATTATCTAAGTCGTTATATATCTATAAATCTAATGTAATTCAAACTGGTGTGGGCGACGACACAAAATGCAATTACGGCCTTATTATTAGATCAGTTATGATACAGTCAATAGCCAATAAGTTGCTGAATTATTGTTATAAGGACCGCAACATCGATAGTAACGTTACATAAACAGTTTTTTAAGTTTTTGTTGCAATAGTCTATAGTCGTCTCGGTGGAGTGTGATATAAGATGCCAGTTCGGATTAAATAACTGTTAGTATAGAGTCTATACCAATACTAATGAAAGCCTTAACTTTACATCTATTCAATATATGTATATCTATGTGTATAAGTGTTTTATCATCATTAAAAGGATAACCTTTCTATAGACACACTCACATAATAATGTGGTCTCTATCAAAAGATATACATAAAGAGATTTACATACATTTAATAAAACGGTTTTTTTTAGTAATAATATTTCAATTTTGAATCGTCAACAATAACGAAACAGGGAACGTCTATAAAATTTGTCAGTGTTATTTTTAAAGTCCTCACAAGTGTTTCAAATTTATTTAAGCATTTCTAAATTAGGCCGTGTTTGGAGATGTCGGGCAGTTGTGAAACTGTTGAAAAATCAAAATGATAATGTTTGGAACCCCCCTGACCGACCGTTTCATTAACAAAAAAAAACAATAAGTCTCTTGGGGCTACACCTTTGATGTAAAGAAAAGAAATATATGAGACATCGCTGGTTAAATATTTAAAAAGAAAAAAAAAACAATGAAAATTAAAGATGTTGCGAAATTAATTGGATTTAGCGCAAAAGCTTTTACCCTCGTTTCAATTCTGAAATAGGCTCATTACTTTGAATGTTTACAGTAGCTAACCACAATATTTACGCAAAGCATCGTGATTGACATTTCTCTGCCATTTTCTTTCACCAAAGTATTACACACGTTTAAATAGCTGCCGACTGGGATATAGCAGCACGTCACCTATTGTATTCATATTTATGTATTTTGTATGCTTCCCTTTTCCGGCATTTATTTGAGCTTTTAGTTCCAATGAGTATAATCAACATAAATTTGAACTTCTTAGTGAGTGTAGTGTAACGTGTGTTTTATGGCTAACATAGTGATATTAAAAATACCTGGAAAGTGATATGATTTTCAATTCTATTTTAGTTGACAGTATTCTGCATACGGTCTAACTTTTATTTTTATTGTTTACTGTTCTCGACTAGGTCACGAAGAAGATTTATTTTTAAGAACTTGCTTGTACCAATGATGTTTTGTTTACCGTGATGACCGAGAAACTCGTCCGGGCGTCGCGGCGCGCTCCATCAGTAGTCGATGGCGCGGAACAGAGAAGCTACTTCAATGACTTCATTAATTTCGACTGTATCAATGTGGTATTGTCCAATTACTTCTGTAGCGGTACTTGATGTCGAGATAAGCGAACTTAAACTGAGTCTCAATTAATTTGAGTCTTAATACATAGTCTGTTGTGTACACGGAAGGGCTAAGTAGCTATTGTTTTACTTTTAATACATTCTTTCGGGAAGAGTGGCGTCAAGACTTATGTATTGTAATGTTAT